TCTATCGTGCATTTAATTAAGCTGCAGGATGGTGCTTTGGATTACAGTGCACATGAAGGTTGAAGAGGACTGGTTTAATTTTTATGTTCTGGCCATTTCACATTTTTGAGCTGAAATAATTAACTGAATAATCATTTCTCATTTTTAAAGCAGCACATTTACTTTACGGGCTCAAGCTTCGTAAATGGGAGACTCCTGATGCTTCTCTGTGGATTACATGATAGAATAGAATTGAACTTTATTGATCCCTTTGATAGTAGGCTACAAAAAAAGATTTTAAAAAACCATCATCTCCAAAAGACTCTGCACTTAAAAAAAAAGAAAACACCTCCACCAGTGTTCGTGCTTTTCCTGATTTATTGTGCAATCTGTCCTTCTCCTCCATCGACAGACCAAGTGGCAGGACAATCGCATGTCGACCAAGCAGGTGACCATCACGGTGACGCAGAGCATCCACCAGGTGGACAAGAACGGGAAGGTGAAGAAGTCCCTCACCACCTACGAGGTGATGAAGCCCGTGGAGACTCTCAAACAGGTGGCCACGCAAAACACTTGAGTACAGCCAGGAGAGACTGGAGGGGGGGAGGCGGGAAAAAAAAGCCAAAAAGATGTAATGATTGTGAAACAAAACGACATATCTTTGTGCAGAAAGCTTTAAGGTCTGACGGCTGAAGGAGAGCACAGCTGGACGGAGGGATCACGTGTACCTTGGCTGTGTTGTGTTTAAACCTGTATTATCTGTGCTTTACTGTACTTTGACACATTGGAGACATTTAAAACCGTAGCTTGGTCGGAGAAAAACAAAAACCATTCTGCAGTAGACACAGCATCAGACGAAACTCATCGTAGATCACAGCCTGAAATCAAATCGACATCAAGACGCTTCTGAGGGTAGATGTTTGTGTAAAGCTGTTATCGGAGTATTACCTGCTGCTGAATATTGAAGTGTAAGTATTTCATAGTTTTGTTGTTCTGCACTGAAACGTGTAGTCGCTGCTGTGTGTTGGCCTCAGGATCGTGATGATTGCACTATTTACAGTGACGCCTGGACAGGAGGTGGCGACGGCGAGGAGCACTGTCTCACCGCATCGTGTCGTTTTGTACAACACAGTGTTCACTTTTTTATCTGGTGGATTGTGTTTTCTAATGACAATAAATCAAACTAAACGTCTCCGGTTCTTGTGTGAGGAAATCCGTTCTAGTGGCAAAAACACTGCAGGGACATGGTGGCTTCAGCTTTGGGTTTCCAGGTGAGGACAGATAACACCAGTCTTTCTAATCAGAGTCTTTGACCTCCTGCTGAAGGTCAGCTCGGTGCTGAGAGCGTGTGAATCTGGCTGTGATGGTCGTAATGCATCCGTCCTGATCTGAACGAAGGCTCCTCTTTCTCCAGCCACTCGTCCGCACAGAAATCCGGGAAGAAGAAGCTGATTTCTCTTTGAGCCGACTCCACGGAATCTGCAGGAAACAATAAAATGTTGTGATTTAGAAGTAGCCTGTTACACAACACAAGAGACAAACTGTGGTTGAAAATCACAACCGGTAGCACAAAGCGTCTGCACTGAAGTGATGCGTAAATGCAGTTTTTGTTTGATTAAACTTTAGAAAATACAACATTTAGGCCATGGGGCTTGAAAGCACTAAAGTTTATCTACACAGCATGTTGGAAAACAAACATGTCAGAAGAGAAGCAAAAGCTAAAATACATGCAAAAAAAAACAACGCAAGACAGAAAACAGGATAAAAGCTTCATCCATTTGCAAAACAAAATTTTTTTTAAAAATGCTAAAAAAACAAAAAGAAAACAAGGCAGCATTGGGTAACAGCTAGTAAAATCTAAATTAATAACAAAATAAATACAAAATGCTGATATATTAAGACAATTAAAGAATGTACGTCTTGATATTTTTCTTTAAAATGTCTTTAAAATGATGATTGAGTTTAAAGAGGACGGCGATTCCAAAGCTGTGCAGCTGCAGAGACACATTCTGTCTCAACCACCAGAAGCTGGGCTCAGGATCTGAAAGTCCTGGAGGCAGAGTACGGCCAGAAATGTTCTGAAATGTTCTGAAATGTTACCACATGGTTGGCTTTACAAACAAACAAAAGAACATTTAAAAAAACACACGTCTGTATTTACCAGGCAGCCAGTGCAGGGAGGCTAGTACACGTATATATGATTATTAAAATGAACGAATGACTTATTTTTTGCTGTTATAAAATATTTAAACGGATTTTAAGATATTTTATGTGTGAATTTTGATTTCACTCGTGTAGATTTTAAAGACATTTGTGTGCATTTCATTCACTTCTGTAAATACGTTCTTAACTGTGCTAAAAGTTTTAACATTTTATATTTTTAAACTTTCTGAATTTTTAACAAAACCAGATCAAGTAAAACATCTGTCTGTGATTTGACATTTTGGTGATTTTTAAACGATGCATTTCAAACACGGCGGCAAGTTTTGGGATTTTGAGGTTTATTGTGCAAAAAAATAAAACACTCCAGGTATTTAAATGATGCAGTCGTCCTCTAATATATTCGTCCCCTTCCATTAAAGAAAATGCAAAATTCACAATAATCACTAAAATAACTAGAAACTGACAAAAGTAATAACAAATAAAAATTTGCTAAATTATAATTTAGTGAAATAAGACATTGCTTTTAAATTGTGGTTGAAAAGAATAATTTTTAAAAAATAAAATAAAAAACTATCCCGGACTAATTAGAGCACTTTGCTGATGTCAACAGGTGCAGACGTCTGACTGAGAGTTACAGGAAACACCTGATTGGCTCAAAGGGTTGTTCAACTAAATATTAGTTTACGGGTCCCATCATGCTTGTTTGCTTTTTAAAAAAAAATTTTTCTATTTCTGTTGAACCACAATTGATTCATGATTTTCATAAAATTTTTATTTATTATTACTTTTGTCCATTTCAGCTTATTCCAGTGACTGAAGCTGTTTGTTTTCCTTCTTTAATGGGAGGTTATGAACACATCTGAGGACGACTGTACATACCATAATGTGGTTTAGAATAATAAAGCTCAGGACTTCTCCTACCTGATCCATGCGTTGTATTCCTCGTGTCCGTGAGCCCAAACTGGGCCCTGATGGAGGCAGGAGAGGTGTATCTGGCTCTGAACACTTTGGTGGGTCCCATCAGTTCCCTCCAATGCCGTATGGCGTCCTCCCGGGCTAAAATGTAAGCTCGCATCGGACCGCTGTGGGGAAAAAGGAGTTTCACAAGTCATGAATCATAGTTACGTTATCCCCCCGTGGAGGCTGCAGTGACGGTAGGAGTGTGTGCTGCTCTGTCAGGCTGCTGCACTTGTTTGATTCTCAACGCTGGATGCTTTCTGGACGGAAAGCTACAAGCGTCACACAAATCTACTCTGTTCACTCCAGGGTCTCCCGAGGAAAGACCTCAGCCACAAATACACATCCAGCAGCTATCAGTTTATCGGTTTCAGCCAAATAATGCCAACTGGAGCTGCTTCAAGCCCAACTGGCCGCCACGCCAAAGATGCTTCCTGTGTTTCCGATAACAATGGCAGCACCAGGAGAAAGGTTGCTGTAGCAACCGCCGATTCACCGCTGTGACCGGAGAAAAACGACAATGCAATTACAAACACCTTTTCCAATTCAGTGGGGGATCGCCGCATGAAGAGCTATTGTGAGCAGGGCTGCACGGCAATTTTCAGACAATTGCTCCGGGGATGTTGCGCTAAACATGGCAGTGTGCTGATAATTGAAACTCCTGTCGCGAAGTTTCAGAAAATGATTTACTGAGAACTTGCTGAGCGTGAAATAGGAGCAGCGTCAGCCCTCTTTATGTCAGCCCACCGGGCGATGCAGTCTGGAAATTTCCCTGTTATTCCATTTCGGATAGATCATGCAGAACAACATCCAAAACACCAAAAGTGTGAAGTTAATCAGAGGCAAGTAGCCACTAGTGTCGTGGTTTGTGATGTCAGCAGAGAGGCTCACCTGGACATGAATTCAACAAGCCTCTGATAGAAGAATCGCTCTGAGAATAAAAAAACAAAAACAGGTGAAAAGTAAGACTTTTAAACTAAATGAGAAGAAAACACTGTTCCTCCTTGTCATTTAAAAACTAGCTTTGATTACACTTTGTTTTGCCAATAACAGCTCCTTCCTCTGTCAGTGTGGGCGCAGAATGATTCACTCGCTTTACCCTCCACACACAGAGAGCACAATGCGTCTGCTAAAATAGATCACTGACTCATTTTCTTCATCACGTGGAGATACTACAGTTAGAAGTAAAAATACGGTAGAACTTTAGAAGTAAAAATCTGAGTTCACACCTGAGTGTTCAGCATAAAACCTCTCCGAGTCCTGTCTTCTCCACACCAGATCTTTGCATCTAACAATCACAAACTTGTTGTCCAGGATTCTCTGGTGAAGAGCCTGAAAGGAGAAAAAAAAGAGTTTTATTTGTGCCAGAGACTGTAAATCAGAGATTTTCAGATTCTACAAAAGCCAGCAGGTACATAGAAAGATCAGCTCAGCTCATCTCAAAAACACAGACGTTAGAATTTATTTCAAGAACTGAAGAAACCTGAAAGAGTTACAAAAAAAAAAAATGTAAAAGTGGTGGATAACAGCATAAAGAGAGTGTGTGAATAGTTGCAATAGATAAGTGACGGTGGGGAAGTGAATAAACGGTTGAAACAGCTGCGTTAAAGTGTGACAAACTGGTGAAACTTTTGGCTAATTGATTGGATAAACATTTTAAAAAGTTCTTGCTAAAAGTAAGGATAATAGTTAAGAGCTGAAACTGATCTGAACAGGATGGAAAGAACAGTTTATCCCCAGTTTTGTAATTAAATGTTGTATAAGATTCTTTTTAAATGAACCTCCAGTGGACATATTTGAACATGAAGTGTTGATGAAGGGGTTCTGATGGACCTGACACAAGAAAATATATTTTGCAAACTACATCTAAACACGTCTGGATCTAATGTATTTAACTGTGTGCAGATTTCTTCCAACAAAAAGGGAAATAGGTGGTATTTCTCTGCTCTACAAGCTCTGAGACCTGCAGCAGCCAAACATTCTGCTGGAAAAGGTCACGATTACAACAGACTGGTTCACGTTATGAGAGCTGAAAACGGACCCTTCACTAATGGAATATTTTACGATTGACAGAACTTTTGTGGCTCTGAAGCCTCGGGGGTCCTGTGGATCTATCAAGACAGCAAATGGAGCTTCTTTACTGTTAAATGAAGGGAACAGGAGAGCAGACCACGCCGCCGGACAGGCTTCTGCTCGGCAATGTGCAGAAATAAGAGCTAAATAGAAAGATTCATTTAGCAATCAAATGCTGTATTTACTCCAGAGTCTAAATCTTTTAGTACTAATAAATGATGCACATATTCTGTGAGTCTACATCCTGTGTCCAGCTCTTGGGGGAGTGACAAAAAAAGCTCAAATTAAAGAAAACAAATAGTGATTAGATAATCGGACTATATGAGCAACACAATAGACAACGTACAGAGATCTGCAGGCAGAAAGCAGGAAACCACACAGACCAAAAAACAAGGTTTACTCCAGGGCCCGCTCACAAAATGATCTTAGTGGTGGAAAGTAGCTTTAATTTTATCCATCCATCTATCATCTACACACCGCTTAATCCTCACTAGGGTCATGGGGGGCTGGAGTCTATCCCAGCTGACTCAGGGTGAAGGCAGGTTCACCTGGACAGGTAACCAGTCTATCACAGGGCTACACTTAGAGACAGACAACCAAGCACACTCACATTCACACCTACAGACAATTTAGAATCACCAATTAACCTCAGCATGTTTCTGGACTGTGTGGGAGGAAGCCGGAGAGTCTGTCTCTAAGTGTAGCCCTGTGATAGACTGGTTACCTGTCCAGGTGAACCTGCCTTCACCCTGAGTCAGCTGGGATAGACTCCAGCCCCCCTAGTGACGATTAAGCGGTGGATAGATGATGGATGGATTTCTGATGCAGATGTGCTTCCTTACAAAGTTCCCCCAAGTGTTCAAGAGCCACCTGTGAACACTAGGCCTACTAATTAGGACTGCTGCGGTGTACCTGAACACGTGTGGGTGTTTTCTAACAGAGGTAAAAGATGTTTGTGGATGCAGTGAGAGCAGCTGACCTCCAGCATCAGAGGATGAGCGACAGCATCCGGCTTGATGACCGCCAGGGTGAGCTGCAGCACTTTGGACAGGCGGCTGGCTGTCAGTAGCATTGTCTGCACAGTGGACAGAAAACACAGGGAGGTGAAACGTTAAAAAAAAACTGCACTGAAAACCTACGATAGCAGCTAAACTAATGCAGGATTAAAGCGCATAACCGACAAAGACGTGGCTTCGTTTGTAGCATTTTAATCGTAAAATTACAGCAAATGTGCCTAAAATAAACTTCTCCTAACCTGACCTCTGGTGGTGATAATAATTAATAATACTGACCTGTGTGGTGGCTGGTTTCCAAACTACTAGTTAGTTAGAAGCAGGCGCCGCCATCACTGCAGCAAACACGTTCTTTATCCGTTTATCGGCTCGTTTTAACGTCTTCTCCACTAATTTAACGCGTATTTTCAATATTATTTCAATATTGTTTATGTAGCTACACACTACGTTATAAAAGTAAAATAAAAAATACAGCGTGAAAATATATTTTTTTAGCTGAATGACTACTTGACCCGGTCAGTCCGTCTGTATAAATGGTCCCCTGAAACCGAAGCAGCACATTAGTTCCCCCCAGCGACAGTGACGCTAAATACTCCATAAACTTTTCAAAAGATGAGAAAAATGTCTTTTTTCAATATCTTTAAAAGTATTTGCCACTGCTTAACATTTTGCTCTACTCTCATGCGTACGTGTTGCACTTTTATTTTGTTTTTAAATTGATTTCACTTTAGAAATCGATTTAACAAGTTCCTATCCTGCTGTCTTGCTGAATTTTCTATGTATTGATTTTACAGGTTTTATTCTGTTTTCTCTCTTCCTTATTGCACACGTTTTTGTTGTTGCCTGTCTTTTAACATATATGGTCCTTTGGTTAACTTGATTTGCTTTTATTGCTCCATTTTCACATCTAGTTAGCAATAAAAAACCTATAATGGACTTTAAAAATTAATGCACGGGTGTATATTCAGGTCAACTGTACAGCAGTGTGTAAAATGGACACATTTTGCTCTGCAGCAGCCAGATACACCAAGAAATGCTGCTTATATGGTAATGCATCAACAAGCAAATCATTTAGGTTAATATATGTAATACCAGGAGAGGTATTTTTTCTGCAAACTTGTGTTTTTATTTCTATATGTCAAGCGCTTTATGCAGATAATACTTGCATACTTTTTTCTAAAGTGAAATTTTTAATGAAGGATTTTTACAATCACATATTCCTTATATGAAAGGATCTGATTGTCTTTTACCGCTGAGTACACGTCGCTAAAGAGCATTGCTTCCTCGAGGGCACTTGAGCAAAGTAGATGCCTTCAGTAAACTTAAATCTTGTGGTAAAATGACGGTGTCCTCAACATGCTCTATGTTTCTGGTTCCACGACCCTCAAGGAGCAGCAGTAGATTTATGACAGACAATCGATAAAGTCTGATACTGTAACTCAAAGTCATAATTAAAAGCTACCTTTTCATCCTTTTAGCTCATCTTTAAAGTAGTGTTGTTGTTTTGTTTTTTCTTTGAATAATAATCTGCATCTGATGTGATTTATTTCATGAAAAAGTTCCACTCACTGGTTACAAATTCTTAATACAACACGTAAAATAATCCACAATCTGCATTTTTATCTTTTCAATTTCTAAAGTTTAACAAACAGATTTTCAGTCCTTCCAGTGTCTACATCTCACATGTCTAAGTTTTCAATTGAACCAGGATTTGTTTCCAAACCAGCTCAGGTGTGATGTCACAAATCCTGAAGCCTTAAGCTAATAAAGTTTAGCCCATCTACCTGCAAACATGCCTCATACTTACATACCAGATTGTTAACCGAAAAGCTCTAATTCAGTGGGTTTTGTCACAATTGTGTGACTCGATTAGTGACCTCAAGTACTTTGGTCGTCCCCAGGCCTGAAAACAACTTCATGAAAGGAACTATTGTTTACAGAGGAGCAAAAGCACGGAACTCACTTTCTTTACAGATCAGAGACACTAAAAATAATGTGTATTTAAAGAGGAAAATAAAGGGACAATTGGCACAGAATACATGAGTATTCCTCCTCTGTATTAGTGTTATATTTACAGTGTTGTGTCAACTATCCATTTACTGTTTTGTACCGTTATAAATAAAATGTTTGCTATTTATTATGTATTTTTAATGTTTTGTAAGTTGTAATTTTTATTTTTACCCTTGGACCCCAGGAAGACTAGCAACCACTTTAAAGAATAAATAAAGAATACTTGTCATCAGTTTGTACCATGAGTTCATCTGCTATGAGGTGTATGATTTTTTTTATGGTGTTCTCAGGTTTTCTCAGGGTCTGAATGTCAAATTCTCCCGTTACATGGCTGCACACTTTGGTGTAGAATAACGCCACAAGAAGCCACAACATGTGAGTTTATTGATCTTTAACATTAGTACACCGAAGTCAAGTGAAATTTCCCAGAATGTCAGAAGATGCTAGCAGATCGGGTTTTGTGTTGTACTGTACAATCCACAGAACTTTAAGGTGTGAGATGACGCTCAGTTTAGCAGAGAGTCTCCGGGGAGAGACGGCAACACGGCAGCGACCAGCGGGGAGACTTTTCCTCTGTGGAATTCCATCACTGTGGCAGATCAGACGTACAGTGTGGGTTACAAACACGGAGCACATTCCTGCAATCCAAAATGGCCACACCCTTGAAAAGTAGAGATTGTGCTTGTGTGTGTGTGTGTGTGTGTGTGTGTGTGTGTGTGTGTGTGTGTGGAGTTTGACATTCAGAGAGACAGAATAGGAGGGAAGAAAGGGGGGATGGATGGCCCACATAGGTTTCTCCCACCTGCCCATGTCATGTGACACGGGGTGACACCACAGCTGTTACCTCCCATGAGGGGGATGGAGAGGATGAGAGGAGGTGTTGGGTGGGTGCAGGGTTAAATGGGACACAGAATATGGCACAAAAACCTACAGAGCTGCACAGAGTTTTGCTTTATAAATACTGCCTAACCTCTATGAAATGTAGAGAAGAGCTTGGGGGGAGAAAACGGGTGAGGAGGGTGTGCTTCGGTTGTCATTATCACTCGTTCTGTAAACAAACTGAGTGATGGAGATGAGCAAATGGCGGCGGTAAAGATGGCGGCCACTCAAACAACAGGTACGACAGGGTGAAATGTAGCCTAATCACAATTTCACAGACCTCCTGTACAAGGTTTAGTCATGTCACAGTGTTATTCCAGAGTATTATGAGCTGAACAGGACAAACAGCCATTACTGTATGTCAAGTTCAGGAGATTTTGTGGAGGTGAGGTGACAGCTGCCGTGAAATAAAGAGCTGTGGTCCCGAGTTGGACGACAGAGTTAACGTCTCAAACCTCCTGGACCACATCAGAGGACGTTTTAGTCTTTTATTACAGAGAAATTTAATGTGTTGAAACCCTTTAACAGTGAAGGTCAGTCCACCTAAATGAGTAGATGCAATCTAACTTCAGGTTTTGCAGATGCCAGTAATTTTGGTTTTCGTTGGCCAGGTTTTCAAATATCTATCCATGTCTCACCTGAATCTATGAGTGGTGCTACCAACGTTTAAATAAATAGATAAATAAATAAAAACGTTTTAACACCTAAATATTTCCCCTGCTCCTGTTTAGTCTTGAAGCTATTTTCTAGTTGTTTTTAAACCATATAGTTATGATTTCAAGTGTGTGATTTAGTCAAACTAGTTTGCATTACCACTTATATTGTCTATTTATTGTTTATTGTTTATAGTCAGAATTATATTCTATGTTGTTTTGTCTATATCATATTTATTTTTTCCTATTTTTCTGCTTTTTTTCATTGTTCATTTTGTGCCGTAGGGCCTCGGAGTACAGCCCTTTCAGGTCTCTGTAAGTGTGACAAAACTGACCATAAAGCAGACTTGACTTGACTGTGGAGCATAAAACATGACGACAGAGCCACGGATAGTCTTAGCAAACAGGGTTAATACAAAACACATCCCAGTTTTTAACAGACACACAGGGGAAATGAGAAGTAAAGAGCTGGAGGATTCTCTATATTTATTATGTCTATTATTTTACAAAAATAATACAATACCAGGGCAAAGATTTTTTTTAGAATATCCAAATATACATGAATCTATACATCTTCCTGTAGCCGGTCAATGCCTCTGTAGATGATAGGTAGCAGACTAGAAACTAAAACATATTTCCTAAAAAGCGGACAGCAGACAAGTCGGACAGAACAGAAACTGACTGGCGACTTTCAGACATCCTCAGCTGGGCGGCTGATTCAGCGGCTCTCTGACCACAATGAACCCCGACTCTGTTTTATCGGCGGCCCGCTGCTGCTGCTGCTGACTGCTGCTGCTGTTGCTGCTGCTGCTGCTGGCTCTCCTGCAGTTGTCGTTCCCTTTTGGTGGCAGCTGACTGACTCACGACCCCCACAGGCACTTGGGTGTCCATAGGCTGCTCATTCTTCAACCGGGAGACACAGCACAGGGTCTTGTGAAAATGTGTTGCACGACGCAGCGGGGAGGAAAGTTTAATGTGACGGCAGAGACACATCTGAGGTTCTGACGAAAGCTGCAGTTTTGTCATGTAGACTGTAATTATATACAGTGTGATTGCTGTGTCTTACAAACCTTATAAATGGTATTGTATTATGTGCAGACATACACTTTTTGGGTCCTTTAGTTTACTAGTTTCCTTAAAAATAAACCGATTTCCACACAAAGGTTCTCGGAGATTTGACCCCAATCTGAAATGAATGAATTAAACTTTATTGTAAGGAAGCTGAATATTCAAAAATGTTAAATCTAATGACGAAACGGTGAATCTGAGCAGAAAAGGAACTATGATTTGTACTGTTCTATATGTAAAAACATATTATTTGTTAGAGGGAAACGCTTCTCTATTTAACGTAGCGTTCAAACTGAACACTATACGTTTAATATGCTCATAACATTCTTCAGTAATATTTAGAAACACTGTCTGTTTATTACCGGATGTGTCGCTTTGAAAACGTAACTGAACCCTCCTGCTTATTGCTTGTATGCGGTAATCAGTGTCTTAATGTGGATATCCACGGTTTACTACACTATTAATACACATGTACATGTGTGTATATATGCAGGATGTTGTCATGCTTCCCCTGAGCTCCTCCAATATTTGTAAAGCTATTTCAGATACTTTTGGGGTGCATTTTCTTTATACTAAAGAATCTAGTTCCCACTTTGACACGAGACAGTTATGAACCAAGTCAAAAAAAAGCTCATTCTGTCTTATAAACATGTAAATCTCTACAGTACTCGATGGCCTGTCAAGTCCTCAGAAAGTTATTGCAATCAAGAGTTAACTTCTGTAGCATCCTCTCATGCTAAGACATGCTAGCAAAGCTACCACAGCAGTGTACTTAGTTTACTAAAGACTAACTCGTGCTGCGCCTGCCGTACGGCGATCCACCACGCTGCAGCTCACCTGTCACCCCTCAGCATTACAACAGGGCCATTTAGGGCTCCACGGGCCCCGGTGTGACACCCAGAGCCCCTTTTATGTCCTAATTGTTTCATTGGTGAGAAAACTCAGGGATGCGTTTCCTGTTTTAGCACCTTTTGGGGGCTTCGCAAACAGATTGGAGCCTAATTAGGGCGCCACATTAACAAAAGTAACCTCCAGAGATGAAACATAATCCAAAAGCGAGCACCTTTTGTTTAGCTCGGATCGCAGTGTGACAGCGAAGAGATTCAACCAAGCGCCTTTTTTTAGCCGTCGCGGTCCTAAATCTAATGACCTCAAAGCATCTAAATCCTCCTGTCCTCTCAGCGGATCACGTGAGCGGGTTGCCTTCACCTCTCCATCACCTGTTCTCTCTTTTAGCCTAAATGCTGGCGACCTCTGACCTTTTCTGCTCCATTGCTTCACCACACGGGACCGGGCTCCCTTCAACAGCTGTGTCAACCTCAGTCCTGGCAACTGGCGTGCCCAGGGAAGGACAGAGAGTGGCATTAATGTCAGACCACATAGCGAGTCAGCAGCGTGGCACTGTCTTGTCTTTGTTAGGATTAAACGGCTCACTTTTACTTCACAGACTGTTGCTGAACTATTGTTTCTTCCTTATGTTTGTTTCTAAAAGTCATGCTTAGATGAAGTTAGGTTATAACAGATTCACTGTTTTCAGATACTTTGAGACATTTCTTGTGAGCACAGCGCCGCTCTTTAACATCTTATGTCATAATTTAAGGTGATTTGTAAGGTTAACTCTCCACCTCCTGCAGGGATTTTCCTGCGAGGAGACGGGTTAATCTGCCAGGTTGTCCTCCACTGTGCATGTGCGGGACCTGGTCCGGTGTCAGCTGCCAGTTTATTTTTACCGATAGAATTCAGTGCCATCCGCCGCTAAAGAAGCCGCTGCGAGGGTTAGCCGGTCTAACTCCTACCTGCCGTCCCCGAGGGAAATTATTTCCTCATGCCACGAAAAGTGTGCTGTGACCTCCCCAGAAGCAGCGGGACATTGGCAGCGGGGGCAGATGGGTATGACAGAGGGGGAACAAAGTGATTAGCAAACGGGGGCCCCGGTATGTGAACACCGGTTAAAAATAACCTCGCTGGCCCAATTTATGGATAACACGGAGCTCAGCCGCTCACATGCGATGCTGTATTTGTCTCGTTTTGGCTCAATTGATCTTAAAAGTGGATTTGTGAGTGAATTAAAACGCTGAATCGCAGCCATGTTTGTTTTTTAACAGACAAACCCAGATCTGTGAACGAGCACCAGGCTGATGATTGGAACAGAAGACGGGTTGACAGATGAAAGAAAAAAAATTAGGCAGTAAGATGAGCTCTTTTACATGATTCATGACACATGATGAAGGAGAAACAGATGATTAGATGAGAGTCTTTGGCCGACGTGTTTGTTGGCAAATCCCCGGCCTATGAGCGAGTATGTGACGGTCATCAGCTGTCCCCGCTAAGAGGAACAGCAGGATTACGAGTCGCGTCTTTACCATTGTGTCCGGTGCGAGCGACCAAGAATCCACTCAGCGACAAAAGTCATCCGATATTCCCAGCACCGCGATATAACTGGCGAGGGCCTCGGCCGCATAGCTGACATTAGTGGAAATGTTGCATTTGTGATACACCCTGGCCGGGGGCCATGGGAAATATTGAACAACTGTCGAATTTAGACAACATCCTGTGGCCCTCGAGAAAAAACGGGAGCTACAAAGATGCAGCGGGGTTGCTATTTGTGGACGGCGAGTGCCTCGAAAATAGCGAGAGCGTTAGGTTTCAATATAAGCCCCCCTCTCTGAGCTCGAGCTTTCTGTGAATGAGGCCCGGGTTCCTATCACACCCAACCCCGGCGCTGATTTTAGAACACAGGTGTTGACCTTAGTGGAGCGGCTTGTGCTTGCTGCAGAGGAAAATGAACCCCTGAGCTCGGCCCGTTTGCCTCTACAGCCCTGGTGATCGCCGTATGGTCGCACAGATGCTTCGAAACCGCCATACGTTCAAAGCTGCCATTCAATACGATTACTGAGGAGATGTCACCCACACGTACGCTCAGTAAAGTCACATTCCTGCAGCTTAAATGGTTGATCATGTGGAAAAGGCTGCTAACTTTTTAGCTTTTCCATTTTCAACATTTTCTTTTCTCTTCCCACGAAAGCAGCTTATTTCACATTCAGTGTTGTTTTGCGGGTGTCACGGCGGCAGGATGGTCACCTTGCAGCCACTGGAGAATTTATTGCTCGTTTTTTATGGTGCCACAAGAACACCCGTATAACTTATTCACACTCCTCACATATCGGCGGCTGTGCCTCATGGACAGAAGTTTATGTTACTGTTTCATCAGAGCGCCGGGTGGGCACCGAAGCAGGCCGCGGCCCTCCATCTAAATCATCATGTCGCCACATAAAATGCTTTGAAAACGGTTAAGCCATCCCCGCGCACTTGATGACAGTGAACGTCACTTTTTCCTCGCGCTGTAAACGATACAATGGAGCTAAAGTGAAGCCCAAAGTGGGATGAAACTCAACCTTGGCTTCAGCTGTGACTCACGGCCTGCTGTAACCGCTGTTCTGCCCTCAAACCCAGTAAAAGAAAAAAAAAAGAAAAAGAAAAAACACGCCCATCTCGCAGTTGCTTCCTTGTTTCTCTGTATCCCTCTCTTTTCTTTTTTTTTTTTCCTCCAAAAAGGAGCCATTGACATTCGGTGTAAAATAGAGGCAGGGTGGGGTTGAGGGGTTGGGGGCGGTGGGGGGAGGCTGAACAGAGAGAGGAACGGCAGGGGTGTAGGGTGTCTCAAGCCCAGTGTGAACAGCTGAGAGGTGTGATTTCACAGGCTGGCTCCCCCCTGTCAGGGCCCTGATTGGGCCGGACAGGAGGCGCAGGAGAGGCCCGGGCTTCTAAAGGACACCAACAGGTGGGAGGCCGCATTGGAGGGGGGCGCTCCTGGCGGGATAGAAAAGGCCGATCTGCAAGGCCTGCTCTGGGCACAATCCACCGGCCGGATCCAGAGGAAGGATGGTTGATCTCAGGAGGAGCGGGGTGAAGCTCAGGGGTCAGTTTGAGATGGGTTTGGGCGGATAGAAGGCAGAGGACAGCGTCAGGGGCGAGGGGTAAGGCCGCTCTGTCTGTTTTTGTAATTATGATCATAGTTTTCATTTAAATCTCTCGTATGCAAACTGACCAAAGAAATGTCCTAGATTCAGCTGCAGACTCTCAGTTCTTGTGTTTTCCTTCAGTTTGATTCTCAGTGAGTGAAATCAGGCCAGTTGTTAGGCTTTATGAAAGACGCAGTGCGGCCGAGCCCCTGACACCTCCGTCAGCCGAGGTGCGATACAGGAAAGAATCAGGAAATTTGGTGTCCTGACATGTGTCCCTCAGAGGAGCCGGTCAGAGTAGTGTTTCAGACGGCCCTTTTGGTTCGGCGCTGGTTGACATGTTAGGGAAGTTAAACGGTACACGTGAAGGAGAAACCGCGGCCTCCACCTCAACCTCAGCTGCTAAATCCACAAGAGGAGGCTCGACGAGGTTCAGTGAAGGTGAGTAGAACAATATTTCTAATCGAGTGCACTTGCATTCATTTTTTTTCTCCTAAATGAGCATCAAAGTGACTCAGCATGGCACGATGTTTAGGAAATAAAAACAGAGCGTGACCTTTGTGAGCTGGAAGTCAGCGTTTGCCTCACCCTCCAGAGTTATTCAAACACCGTTCAGCATCATCGCATCGGCATCACAGGGCTGAATGGACCGGCATTTGGCAGTATCGTACATCGACATAGCTCTTTTAGTTTGTACAAAATGAAATTCCCTCCAAACCTCTACACTCTGACATTTAGTTGTAGCGCGAATGATCAACATGTGTTTAGCTCCATTCATCCGCGGCCACTCTGCCACAGTTAACCATTGTCGAGCCGGTTGTTCCCGCTCCTCTTCATGTGTGAAAGGGCGCTTTGTGTCCGCCGGGCAGCGAATCCAGTTGTTGCCCCTTGTGAGGACATGCTTCCTTATATCCCCATATTAATACACCACTTATGGAATGTAAGGAAGTGTGTGGTTTCAAGGGGACTCGAGCATCGAGGACGCTGGAGAGACGTTTCAGTGTGTGATTTTTTATATTTTTTTTCATTCGAGCGCTCATTCAGCAGCCTATAGAGTGTGTCTTTGTGTGTTTTATGGGGATGGGAGGGGGATGTCAGGGTTCATGTGTGTGTGTGTGTGTGGCAGGACAACAGGTGAAAGGCCTATTCCCTCTCCTTCAGCTCAGGCACGTGTGCAGTTAGCATTACTCCCAGGGCCGCCGATCGGGTCTCGGGGACTTCTTGAAAAATTCCTGCCCTGCCCCAACTGCTGACAGTCAAGGAGGATTGACAGACCACAGCTGTCACCCATTATAGCAACCACAGATCTCTCAAAAAAGGAAGCGAGGAGGGAGGGAGGGAGGCAGGGAGGGAGGGGAGGGATGGCTGGTGGAGCTGTCACTGAGGGTGAAAGTTCGCTGGCTTTGGAAGGAAGTAGGGACATGTCAGCGGCTGTCAGGGTTCCCAAACCTCTAAATAGGGACGATCTGCTTGGTAACAAGGAGGAGCATGTTCCTGTGTGGTAGCCACCTCATTAATATTCTCCTTTTTCTTCCCCCCTCTCCCTCTCTCTCTGTGTTTCATCAGGTAAGACTGAAGAGGACTTGACAGCTGGCAGATGGCGTCCACCTTCTATTTCTTCTCTTTCCTTTCCGTCTTTCTTCTCCTTCCCTCCTGACTCTCTCCCCTCTCTCTCTGCATGCCTTCTCCTCCTCCTGCCCTCTGTCTCGCTCTGCCTCTTGCAGCTGAAGCAACACGCCTTGCTGTGGCTGGTCAAACGGAACCAAGTCAGGTGTTTCTGTGAGGTTTGGTCCCCTTCAACCAGCTACTGCGTCGTGAATTCAGTCAGCAGACACCAGCGTGGAGTCAAAGACACGGTGGCGTTGTGGCGTGAAGCTGCTCGCTCTGGAGGGGGATAGCGTAGAGGCACAGATAGGTTTCCCTCTGTAGTGTATGTATATATATACAGATTGTTAGTTTTCTGTCTTGGTTTTGTCCAGTTTGGCAACGTGTGTTTAAAAAGTTAATAAAAGATTCCTGACAACGTGCTGTGCTGAATATATATCCTTCTGTTTTTGCTTTGTCAAGTGTTTTTTTTTTCATATGAGTGAGTGAAAGATTTTAAAATATGCAAAATATGTGTCTCGCCTGCCTCAGTCTCTGATATGTACAGTAAGTTAACAGCAGCTGAATCTGAACGTGTACATTTGCGTTGTGGTTTTGATAGTGCAATTCAAATGTTTGTAGTAAAAAAAGAAAAAAGTCTCATGTGTCAAGAACTTGGGTGTACAGTCGTCCTCAGATGTATTCATCCGCTTCCATTTAAAAAAGGCAAAATTCACAATAGTCACTCAAATAACTAGAAACTGAAAAAAAGTAATAATAAATAAAAATTTGATAAATTATAGTTTAGTGAAATAAGACGTTGCTTTTGAATTGTGGTTGAAAAGAATATTTTTTTTAAAAAACAAAAAACTGTTCCGGACAAATTAGAGCACTTTGCTGATGAGCAGTGAAATCCAAACACCTGTCAACAGGTGCAGACGTCTGACTGAGATTTGCAGAAAACACCTGATTGGCTCAAAGGGTTGTTCAACTAAATATTAGTTTACGGGTCCCATCATGCTTGTTTGCTGTTTTTTCATCTTGTTTTTTTAATATTTCTGTTGAACCATGATTCAAAAGCAATGTTAGGATTTTCATTAAATTTTTTGTTTATTATTACTTTTGTTAATTTCAGCTTATTTCAGTGACTGAAGCTGTTTTTTTCATCTTTAATGGGAGTCTATGAATACATCTGAGGACGACTGTAGATGATAAATGATGTTTTGGAGGAGCTGAATTAGAAACTTAAATTCTTTTGAAGAAACACGCAGTTCCTCTCTTGGTACACATTTTTATCAGTGCTTAAATATGCAGATGTAATTTATACACGTTACTGCAAATATCATTTAAGTCATTTGATTCTGTGCATCACAATTCTCCTAAATTTATTAAGTTAAACTAAGGCAAGCAAGTTCATTCACATAGCACCTTATTACACACAGAGGTTATTCAAAGTCATTTACAGGAAAATAAAACGCAGTTGTTCAAAACCAATATTGCCAAGTTGAATGACGTGCACACATATCTAAAAGACAATTCAATCAATCAAGCAATCGATAAATCATAAGTCATAGCTAAAGATTTTCTTTGTGGCCTCATTCTGCAGAATATCTCCCAGAATAAAATGTGTGCATCTTGAACTTTATGCAAATTTAGCCACTAGTCCATTTTTGCATTCAAAAAATTACAGTCATTTGTAATTAAATTTATTATTTATTAAATTCACAGAATTGCAGTAAATTGTAATTTAGCAAATATATATTTTAACGTATGTAAATGTAAACGCATGTCAGAACAGCTGCACAGTTGTAGCAGCGCTGTAACCAGTGAATGGTGCTGACAGTTATCAACTGTAGTAAACAGATTCATCCACAGAGAATGAAAGAAGGTGACGTTACGTTATTTAGACACTTGGTTTAGTGGAGAATTCAGTACCACGGATAGCAGCCATGATGTATACAGCAATAAGTGATCTTGATTGGTGATGTGGGCATTAATATATTACATGATATCTATTAGGACAGCACGGCGCTCTGATGGTCAGCATGGAAAGAAACTGGCCTTTAACTGTGAAGATCTGACTGGAATCGAAGAAACCAAGATTTTTTAAACCAATTTTCCTCATGCTCATGTGTCCTTTAAAAGTTAAAAATTAAAATATGATAAAAGGTTAGAACCATAATCAGTAAATAAATCAGCTAATAAATAACGAAAAACAGATAGTGATGATAATAACAATAACAATAGAGGAGATTAGATTTGCAGCACAGTTATTTTACATTAAATTATGTGCTAGTACGCACATAAGCAAAGAGTAACGTTCAGGCAACATTTAGGGAATGGTTGGGGAAGACTCCCTTGACCTGTTAAGACCTGGGTTGTATTACCACAATTTTTATTTTATTTTTATTTTTTACTATTGTATTATTTTATTTTTATTTTTTATTTTTTTTTAAGTGCATATCAAGCTCTGGTCTTAAGAGGTTGATGTTGCCTGAAGGTGTCTCTTTGCTGGGGGACCTGCTCTTAACAAAGCAGGGAGTAAAGTCTCCCGGATGTAATGCAAAATAATTATTTGTAACGAAACAAGTGATGACAGAGTTAATTGCATCACTTTTTCACAAACCAAACTCACCACTCGTCTTAAAATCACCAGCGGCTGCACTGCCCGCCGCCGCCTGCCCCTGGCGGTCCAGCAGGGGGCGCTGTGAGTTTTCCAGCGCTGCAGTTTGTGCCGCAGCAGAGGAAGTGAAGCGGCAGCGTAAACATGGCTGACAGTGGAGTGACAGGTGAGTTTGAGAGTATGTAACAGCTGGACTTTATCTCACGTTCCCGGTGTTTTAATGTCTGTGCGGCGGGTGTAACGCAAATAAATCCCCGGTGTCTTCCTGCCGCTTCTGGGGTCTCCGGTGGAGGCTCGTAGCAAAGTTAATTTCCACATGCTAACGTTAGCATCGTAGGCAAGTCAGCGGTACTACTGCGGGAGGGAGTGTAGTTTAACGGCAGACATTGTGGTGCTATTGCATCATCTTTACATGTAGTTTTTGATTTAATTAATAACGGCGGGGTTTTAAGTCACTGTGCTGTGAAGGACATGCGAGCAAACCACTTCTGTTCTTGTGTTAGCGTCACGAAAAGCGAACAAGTTCAGCGATAGCGAGCTAACAGCATCATCAAAACTGCTGGCTCCCCCTATTGTCACTGTCCTTAACCAAAAAAGTACCGCATCACATTATTAAATAGCCTAATCATGTATTCATATATTACAGATGGACCTGAGAAGAAAGATGACATTGAACGTGCAAAGGTTAGTGTTTGTTTTTTTCTTGAATATTGCTGCAGGCTTACATGAGGCTCAGTGGTTACCTTTCCATTGACTCCCATTTTGAAATTGTCGCTTCGCAGAACGAAGGCAAAGAGCTGACCAAAGAGGAGAAGCAGCGGCTGAGGAAAGAGAAGAAACAGCAGAAGAAAGGCAAAGAGAAAAAAGATGACAAGGCTTCACAGGAAAGTGAGAAAGAAAAGAAGCCGGTCAGTCCAGCTGCTCCGGCGTCCCAGCCTCCAGCACAGTCCACCACACAGAAAGGTGCGTACTGTTGAAGCAGTACCAGCTGGAGGAACGGTTATCTTCATTTGTTACTTGGTGGATTTATGTGCAGTGAGAATTAAATGCCAGCAGCTGACACTGGAATTCATCAGCTGAAGGAAATGTTCTATACCCATCTCTGTAGCTGATCTCTTACCCTGACGCCTGGGTCTTTTCCAGCTCCTTCAGCAGTGCCTGCTCCTGCACCGGTTTCCGTGCCTGCCTCTGAGGCTCCTGCGCCGGCAGATAAGCCCGCAAAGAGTAAAGCAGAGCTGAAAGCTGAAAGGAGAGCCCGGCAAGAGGCTGAGAGGGCGTCCAAACAGGGCAAGAAGGGAGACACGGGACAACCGGCTGCCACGAGTAAACCTAAAGCACCGCCTAACGAGATGCAGCCAGGTATAAACACAAGGCTAACATAACCAGTTCTAGTCCTTTTTCTGTCTGACTTTAATAACATAAAAAACATTACATTATTAAGACATTACAGCTGTTTTTCTGGGACATAGTATACAATGAGTGAACAATCAGAGAAATGTGCAATGACTTGACCAAACTATTGAAGAGTCCATGTTTCAATGGGTTTTTTGGTAGCACTAATGGACTAACGGCTAATTAATGTTGGTCATAATGTTTTGGCTCATTAGCACACTGTGGAAAAACTCACACTTGTTGTATTTTCAGTGGTGAAGCGGCTCCCAGAACACATTCAAGTGGACAACCCAGACGTTTTAAAGAAGCTGGCTAAAAAGTTGGAAAGGCAACAGGTTGGATGCATCATGTTTAACTTGTAAAGACCTTTAACAATAACAGTTTGCTTTGTTTGATTCAAGATAGCTTACCATTATATAAAAGGCACACACTCACGTTGTACATACGTGTACATTCAGGCTTGATTAAATGAAAAATGTGTTTGGTTTATGTTATTAAAAATGGCCTGGATGCTCAAATTAGGCACCTGTAGCAGGTAAATATAGACAGAACTGTCTGACACATGCAGTTTATGTTTACAACATGTGATGCAAGACAGACAGATCTCAGGTCAGAAACTCATAAGTCAGATATAATAAAACAAAACTTGCAGTCATTTATTAAAGATTTTTATTTGCTTATTATAACTTACTGCTATTTATGTAGCATGATTCTTGTATTTTACCCAACAACTATAAAAGAACTTTGCAACCATCAGTTATAACTGCATGTTATTGTACCTAACGTTTCTTTCAGACACCAGGGCACAATGCTGCTAAAAAGGTATAAGTCATCGAGGTCAGGCTTTATGGAAAGTGTGCTGTTAACATGTTTTTTTCTAACTCTGTTGTGTTTGCTAACCCGTGATAATTTTTGCAAATCATCACCATCACCGCTTGCTCAATGCAAAGTCACTGAGAGGATGTTCGGTTACTGTCTGTTCTGTGAAAGCGGCGGTTGTGTGTAGGTAGGACGTGTTTGTGTTTTGTGCGTCGCGCTCACCGACAACACTGAGCTGTTTGCTGTGCGGGTCTTTGGTTATAATTCACTGTGCTCTCCGGTAAAGCAGTGTGGAGAGTCAGCAAAATCACACATTGTAAATATCTGGCTTTCTTTGTTGCCTAATTTTATTTTAGAGCAGCCTTTCATTAGTCACGTAGTAGTTTTGTAGTGTTTATTTCTTTCTTTGGTCAGCCTCGTGATGTCTGTTTTAATCTCTGAAACGCTGTGTCGCGTGTTGCATTTCAGATCCCGCTCCGCTCCGACTACGGCTACAAAGTCAGCCTGTTTTCTCACCTTCACCAGTACAGTCGCAAAGCTCCTCTAACACAGCAAGTCAGGTAAACAGACCGCCGTGTACTATATGGCGCAGTAGAGTGCAATCGGTTGTTTGTGTTGCTTGCAAAGAGTTTGATTGCCAATATCTGAAGAATACCTTAAACCTCATTGACTGTCGTTTGTCGTTTGCAGCATTCCTTCCACAGTGATTCATCCTGCGATTGTTCGACTGGGTCTCCAGTATTCCCAGGGCATCGTGGCAGGATCCAACGCTCGCTCTGTTGCCCTGCTGCACGCCTTCAAACAGGTACAGTGTTGCACATACAGACCATTCGTTCTGGGGTTTTGGTTGCACGTCAATGAATTTATACAGATCCTCATGGACAATAAAATGTTGCTGAAATGCTCCTGTTTTGAGAATATATTGCTAGTTTTCATGATTACGGCGAAGTCGTTTGCATTAAAACTGTAGTAATGTGTCTCTTCAGGTAATAAGGGATTACACTACACCTCCAAACGAGGAGCTATCAAGAGACTTGGTCAATAAGCTCAAACCTTATATCAGGTAAAAACATAACTTGTTCGGTCTAGTCATGTATCACCCTGTGTGTTTTAACTTAACTGGATCCTAAACATGTAAAAATAATCTATTAAATTTTTGTTTTAACACAAAATGATTCCTTTTGCCATTTTTTTTTCCCCTTCCAGTTTTTTGAATCAATGTCGCCCTCTGTCAGCCAGTATGGGAAACGCAATTAAATACATCAAGAAAGAGATCTCCAATATTCCTAGTCAATGTAAAGAAGAAGAGGTTAGTGTGAAACTTGATTAATTGTAATTTAGCCAGATGTGATCCACACACAAAACACAGTTCATTCATTCTCTCGTGTCTGTCCAGGCAAAGAGCAAGCTGCTGAACTGCATCGAGTGCTACATTAATGAGAAGATCATTCTTGCTGCTGAAGCTATTGCCAAGTCTGCCATAGAAAAGATCAGTGATGGAGACATCATCCTCATCTATGGATGGTAAGTCGCTTGTAGCCGACATGGTGTCCTCAAGAAAAGTCAGGCTTCGTTTCATGACTGTGTCTGTGATTAGTCAGCGGTGAAATCTGTGGTTTCTCGTTACTAAGCATTGCTTAACTGTTTTTCCTGTTAAATAAACGCAACACTTGTGTATCCAGACGTATTCGCCTATTTTTAAACCGCCCATAACACTTTCTCTTCCCTGTTTTTGTCTCCTCCCTTCAACCTTCCCCTTCCTTCCACATTTTCCTCCATCATTACCCCATTTGTTTTTATCTCCGCTTCCATCTTTTTTCTGCCAGTTCGTCACTAGTCAACCACATCCTGTGCGAGGCCTTTGAGAAAAGCAGGAAGTTCCGCGTTATCGTGGTGGACAGCAGGCCTCGGCTGGAGGGCAGGGAGGCTCTGAGGCGCCTGGTGCAGAAAGGCATCAGCTGCACCTACGTTCTCATCTCGGCCGTCTCCTACGTCCTCCCAGAGGTAATCATGAAACCATGGGAGATGAATAAGGAGCTGCTGTTGTCAGATTATGGATTCAGCTCGCATTAGATTTCTTCATTCAAGGATTCACTTTATTATTTTTGGTTCTTCTCCAGGTATCGAAGGTGTTCCTTGGTGCTCACGCTCTGCTGGCCAACGGTTACGTCATGTCTCGAGTGGGGACATCACAGATCGCTCTGGTGGCCAAAGCCTTTAATGTGCCTGTTCTGGTGTGTTGTGAGACCTACAAGTTCTGTGAGAGGGTGCAGACAGACTCCTTCGTATCCAATGAACTTGGTGAGATTCCGCAACAACCGATTTGATTTCTGATCCCCTCAGTTCAAATTCTGCTGTGTCAGATTTACCTCTCAGATCTTCGTCTTTTCCCCTCCAGATGACCCCGACGACCTCATTGTGACACGTAAAGGTAAGACCCAGCTGAAGGACTGGCAGGAAGTGCCCTCTCTCGGCCTGCTCAACCTGGTGTATGACGTGACGCCGCCCGACTTCGTGGACCTGGTCATCACAGATCTGGGTCTGGGAATGATCCCGTGCACCTCGGTCCCCGTGGTGCTGCGAGTCAAGAACGTGGACCAGTGAGCGGCCGCCACCTCACATCAGTCTGAGCCAAGAGGCTGGTTCTCTGTGTGCATGAGTGCTCGCACACAACACAAAATATCGTGCTTTTAGCATGCAATAAATATATATCTGAAATGGCATATGCTTTTTAAACGGCGTCCATGTGTGTTTTTATGGTAGGATGGGGGTAATTACAGAGATTTGTTTTCCAGGCTGATGTGACGAGAGGGCTCGTTGTTCATTTTTTTAGCGTTGGTAAAAGGAAAATTTTAGTGTTCAGATGTTAATAGATTCACTGTTTCTTAACAACAGAACATTTAATTGCCCGTAGTTGGAGCGGAGAAATCCCACTGTGGTTCACAACACGCTCCGCTTGTCAACCACGGCATGCAATTTTAAACTAGCCAGAAATGGTTTTCTAATTACAGTTGGAGCTGAGCTATCTAAGAGGAATTTTATGACGCTCATAAATTGTTCAGACTTGTTTTAATGGTCCGATCAATTGAACACATAAGAAGAGTAAACCGTCACGCAGGCGGTGAAGCATTTTTTGGCATCTTAAGTGTTCATGTTCTCACAATCAGTAGATGGTAGTCGCGTGTTTCAGCTTTCAGGTTAGGAACAGCAAACCATGCGTGCTGTACATACATTCTGTTTTTTTTTTTTCTTCACAAGGTCATTGATTAATTATTAATATATCCAACACAGCATCAGTGGACTTGGGGTTGTTGTTTGGCCATTACTGAACAGTTGTTAGTAAATTTTCAAGTTAGGTGGTTGAACAGGTTTTAGACAATTGTAGAAAGAACTCCTTTAAATACATAATTAATACAGCACATGGATAATGTAGCGGCGGCACCTCAAGCAAAGAAACAGATGCGCTGTTTTAAAATCTTTATTAGAGCCCTGAATGTAATTAGGAAGAAGCATCTTGCTCATTAACATTAAGACATTTTACCGATGAACAAAAGCTGAACAGCATCGCTTACATTTTGTGTCCGGTTTTAACTTAAAGCTGAGAAGATCTTGTGAAACTTACAACTAAAAACCAAGTTAAATACACCTTTAATTTTAAACATGCAACTTTGCATTGAGGTTATTAAAATCACTTAACAGCTCAGTCAAGGCAGACATCTTTAGGGTTCACAAGGCAATTCATACATAAAAACTAAATCTTTTTTGCTAAAGTACATGTTCAACATGCAATAAGTTGTAACTAAATTCTCTGTAACAAGGTTCAGGACGTAAAGTCAGTGTTTGCGTGAACTCGTACACATTCAGTATTTGTTGGCACACCGAGCAAACCACAGTGTTTTACCTTCAGTATCATCTTATGTGCATTTAAAAATCGTGTTAAAGTGTTGACAGTGGTCGTTTCTGACAATAAGAAATAACTTTAAACTTGGAGCAAAAATTTCCCCTAAAATTGCATTTGTAACTTAAAAACAAACAAAAAAATGTCAGTCTTATAAATTTCCTTTACATAAAATATAGCTGCCCCACAAAAGGTGTAAAAGTCTGAAAATATTTAACAGCAAGCCTGTTGTCACTGCAGACTTTGTCAGCATTACCCTGTCAGCATTTTCCCTTTCAAAACAGTCAGTTTTCGTCAGAATAAAATCAGTCGACTGCAGTTTGAGCTCACAGCGATTTGGCCTTGCGTCTCTGGGTGACCCACAGAAGGAAAGAGATCACGACTGTGGATGCCGCGAGAGGCCCAAACACCTGGAGAGCCGGGAACTCCCCCTGAGGACAGTTACAGCAAACTTCAGTAATCACAACATTCAAGTGGAAAAAATGAAGTCGGTTATGACAGAACGGGCGACCAACCTCTCGAAGACACTTGTATCCGTGGTGCTGGTCGGCACAGCTGCACTCAAAGAAGCCGGGGCCGTAGGGGGCGCAGAGCGAGTTCTCCGGACAGTCGACGGCTGTGGATTCCCCATAACCGTGAGTGGATATTATCAGTTTCAGATGTTAAGAAGGAAGGTTGTGAGGAGGGAACTTACACATGTGTTCCGTCTGGTTGCACATGTTTTTTTGGCCTTGGCAAAAACGGTTCCCCTCTCTGACCTCCACCTTTTCCCAAGACGTGTTGCCTCCTGGACAACTTGTGTCTTGTGGCAAAATCCTAGGGAGACATTAAAATCTAATTACCAATAAAAAAATAAATAAATAAATCCAATACTGATGAGATTGTGTCGTCATTAAAGCTTTTATAACGGCGGGATACTTACATGTAATTTAACTTGCTGAATCCTTCAAATGCCGTGTCAGTCATGTTGACAATAGGATTGAGGGACAGGTCTCTGCAACAGAAACATTTATTGGGTAAAATACTTTTAGAGGGACAACAACAAATGGTAGCATGTAGAAAATAAAAACTTTAAAAATGTCCACAATTAAGTGCTCATGAGGGGACGCTTTTTAAAGCTCTATTCACTTCATTTCCTTGAGACTACAAGAAGAGTTTTAGTCTTTGCCAGTAAGAGAGATGAGAGATTTTGTGCGCTGCCTAAAATAGAAACTTCCACTGCCTAAGAATGTTCTTATCAGCACTGTAATCAGTCAGAAGAATCTCCCGCGTACGTGAGGTACATTTTCCTGTGTGCAGCGGGACACAAGTCCTTTATGTTGTAGAACAACCTCGTGGTTGTACAGAATCAACATGTGCAGCTGCTCTTGTACTTTGCTTTGAAAGAAATAACCTCGCAGTCACTGGGGAGAAGTGTCCAAGCAGGGACTTCCTCTATTCACACAGTTAATTGTGTTTACTTACATTATTAACACTGTTGACGCTTCCTGGAGATCATCCACATGAGTCAGTGAACAATTGGACAGATCCAGCCTGAAAAACACCAAAAGAGTTCAGATTATGCAGCAAGAACTTTTCAGAAGCTACACAGTTAAATAAGGTTAGTGAAAGAAATGGAGGCTGGAATTTAAATGAAAAGTACTGATCAGATCTAATTCATACTCTGAAATTCACAAAGTTGACGCTAGTTTCCAATTCAGCAGGAAAGGGAAAAGGAAAGGGAGACTTCAATTAGAACGCTGAACGACTGATTTTCTGTTTTGTCTTAAGATGTAGAACCATGTTAGACATTTTAGGTGAACTCTGAGATATGAGAAAGCTTTATTCTATGTGTGAAAATGCAAAAAAGGGAGATTAAATCTGGTCACTGGTCTAGTCAGTTTTACTAATCCTAGTCTTAAACCTCTCTGGGATAATCTAGTCTAGAGCCAGTATAATGTAATCTACCTGCAAAATAAATAAATGCGCTTAAGAAAACAGAAAAGTATCCCTTTACTTTATTGTTATTTATTTATTTAACTTTGTAGGGATGGCGCACAATAAAAAGTAACAGAAGGTAGCTGATTGGCATATGTAAGTAAGTAAACAAAACAAAACTTTAAAGTCCATCAGTGTGAGATAATGAATAAAAACAGTAAATAAAAGGTAATCACTGACGGAGACAGTTCTGCGGTAACTTGAAAAGCTTGTGACTGGTTTTAAACACTTCAAAGCTTCCTGAATCTCTCGTGTTCGTAGAAACGAAGTTCCACTTTTAGCTTTAACTGAGGAGCATTCTCTAGTAGAGGCTTTTTTTGTAGAATATATACACACTGTGTTTTGAAGAATCTTTAGCCTCTATAGGACTCCAGTCCAGATTTGACCAGTCTAGCAAGAGTGGTGTGAATCTGGTGAAATGTGGTCTACATGCCAATTTTATTTCCTTTCTTCTTTTCTTGTTTTCTTTTGCATTTTCACAAATTGATAAAAATGCTGTAAATTAGACAGTGTTTTAAGACTCCTAAGCTTCACACACACACACACACACACACACACACACTGCTATTCTGCTATTCTGTATTAGATTTAGCTTTAAATGTTATTTCTATATTTCCGACAGTCCTGAAAGCAACATTAAAGTCCTACCCGATGATGCGTTCAGGGTCGCTTGTGCTGTCATTGCTCCAGCAGCACCGCCCGTCTATCCGTCCAGCGGATTCGGAGCAAAACTGACCCACCGCGGTGCCGTTTAAGACTGTCCCGGGACACATCCTACATACCTAAAAACCACAGCGACAGAGACAAACGCGTGTAAACAACAACATTACTGCTCCAACTTGCTGGCACCTACAGCTACTGAGCATCCACCAAAACAAGCCGTTTGTCAGTGATATCTGGATGTAGTGAGCTGCTGACTCGTTCTAATCCAGTCCAGGTTTAATTATCAGTCTTACCTGCAGCTCAGCCAGCTGATAACTTGCGTTAAAACATAAATTAAAGACCAAAATAAGCGCTACAGGTTTCAGCCAGCCGCATACAGCTTTCATTTTCATCGACTGAGGTCATATGATCGGACTGTAGCTGACACGTGACCGGAAACTGCTCCAATATAAAGCGTTACGCTTAATTTTGCGCCGCAATTACGCATAGTCGACGTTTGAAGCGCATAAAAAAATGTTTTCGGAATAAATAAAGCAAGCGTGTCAACTGTTTATTAGCGAAGATGATTTTTAAAATAGCTTTTAAATGTTGCAGTCAATCCAAAAGTGATGTTTAATGCAAGCATTAAAAAAAAATTTTTAGCCAGATGCCATTTTTTCTCATTTAAATAAATTGTATTACAAGTTAATGTAGGCAGTTATTGCAATAAAATAAGTATATTTGATATGTTTTCTTGTTTTTTGATCGTAATGACTGTTGACTTCGCTTTTACTGTCACTTTGGGCTGCACCAACTAAAATGGGGTCTACAAGCGAAGGGATTCTGTGGAGTTTAAAATACAGAGGGACCCATGTTTGCTGTATGTTAATAAAATATTGTGACACTATATTGAAATGTGTTGGGAAAATCTGCCACCGCTGTATTGCTTTCTGCACAGACTGCGTGTTTCGTGATGAGCGGACGCCACCCCTCTCTGGGGATGAGATGGTTTGACCCAGAAGGATTGTTGCAATGCCTCTTGACGGGCCAGTAGGTACGCTGAACACAGAATGGCTTGACGGCAGTGGTGCATCTGGAGGGGGGTTTTTTTTCTGCCACATAATCCACATTTTCATCTATGTTTGCCTTCCGTCGCCGTGTGGACTTTTCTTCTGCAAACGTAGGGGAGCGGAAAAACACAGAAAACCACAACAAGTGCAACTGTCCACTCACATATTTCGAAGCGACGGCTGTACGACGCTGTGGGGCTTCGTAGCAACAAACCCACCAAGCAGCCAGCCAGCCAGCCAGCTGCACCTTGAATCCAGAAACTTCTGCTCATGAACCGGATTACGTGTGCGTGCTGAGAGTCGGTTCTCAACAGTAGGTGGCTGCTTTTAAAGTGTGTACGAATTGCGCAAAAGTGAGCGAAAGGGGGATATTTTTTAATGCCAACAGTGAAGGTGTAATTACTTAGCACTTGCAACATGGCTGCTGCGGGAACGGCAGAGAGAAAAGTTTAACACTGACGTGGGAGAAGTTTAATGCGACTCGGTACGTGAGTTGTTGTCCGTGTAATAAAGTCGTACGCAGTCGCCCCTGGTGTGGCACCGCTTTCCCCGGACTTCCAAACCAGTGGATGAACCGTGTGAGAGCCGCCTCCTCCTCCTCCTCCTCCGCCTCCTCCTCCGCCGCCGCCGCCGCCGACAGTCACTGCAGTGGACTTTGTGGGCAAACTGTGGTGTCTTCCTCCCCATCGCAGGCTGTGGTGGCGTTAAAGGACTTGTCGTCTGGCAGCACCCAAAATGCATTTCTCCATACCCGAAACGGAGGTTCGTTCGGGAGAAAACGGTTCAACCTATGTGGTGAGCATGATAATGTTTTTATTTTTATTTTTTATTTCACTCCCCTTCAGCTGGCCACAGGTCGGGATAATGTCAATGCAGCACGAGTTTCACTGTTTACTGCCATAGATGATATGATAGCATTGGACTGATTAAACGCAATAAAATCAGCTGTGACCTGCCAAAATTTCAGTCAGACATTTAATGATTCCAAGATCTTGCTTGTCGCATACACAGGCAATGTGTGAAGTGAGTACAGCTCAGAATGACAGGACTTCTTCTTTAATCAGAGGTATTAATGATTAGATCTGGCTTTGTGTAGTCTGCATGAAACTAGTGCAATGACATTTCCCTTTTTTAACATTTTCATAAATGGAATAAACGTTTCACAAACCAGAAACTGTGTTTGACAGACTTCTTAGCCTCTCTGGGACAGTCCGGTCTAATCAGTCCACAAACAAAACATAATAATAAAGGGCTTAAAGATAAAATAGACTAAAAGCAGGTACAGGAATCGGTACGTAATGCCTTCGCCATATTTTTAAAAGCTGATAGAGGTATAAAAGTTTGGAGTCTAGATTTGGTTTGTTAAGATATTGTGGTGATCCAGCTGCAAAGATGTGCTAAATCTCTTTTATTTGATAAATAGAATAAAGGTTTCACTAATTAGTCGCTGTGTTTTGCCTCTCTGGGACAATCCAGTTCAGATTTGATTAGTCTAGATGGAGTGGTCTTAAATACAGACCTGGGCTAATGTGGTCCACATGCTAAAAAAAATATACAAAACTGAATATTTGTGAAGAAATTATGCATTAAATTAATACAGGAAGCAAATAAACATTTACTCTGGAGTCTACCTGTTAGTTTTCTAATTTGATATGAGGTTTTCACTCCTATTTACTGATTTTTGCTGCTATTTTATAACCGTGTTGCAGTTTTAACAGATTTTGCTTAAAATGTATTTTCCATATTTCCAACAGACCATGAAAGCAACATCAACCTGATGATGTGTTCAGGGCTTTGCTTGTGTCGCCGTTTCTCTATATGAAATAAAAAGTGTTTCATTTTAGATCTAGATAGCTGATTAAATTATACTAAGAGCATTAAAAGAGAGGAGTTGTTTGATTCTCGTAGGCTGAGAATTTAGCCTTCATCGTGATTCAACATTAATTTTGGCATCGAATATTATGTGCTAGATGTGACAAAGTGGCTGCGAAATGTGGCATTGTTATGGGATGTCTGAAGTCGGCGGCGTTATTAACACGTCGCCATTTACTGTCAGAGCCACCTGAGGAAACTTGAATGCGGCCCAGTCTGATTCCTCACATTAGCCACACACAGAGTCCCTTTTGTTTTAAAGGTTTGAGTCAGCACTTAAATTCTTACTGAGATTTGAGGTTTGCCACCACAGTACTGCAGCTCTCCTTGTTATTTAGAGAAAAATACAGCCACCATTGCTTGAGCTTAGTCCCTTAACTAACAGTTAGCCATATCAGTGTAAAATATAGCAGTGTTGACAGCACATCAAGAGCAGCAGTAATTTCTTTCCTATAGTTGTGGCTGCACAGAGAAGTCCCTTAGCCTTTGAGTTTATTTTCTATCCGTCTTTTCTGTTTCTTATTGTCTTTTCAGTGTTATTTCATGCCCTATCTAAAGCGCTGTGAATTACCATTGTGTTTGGGAGACGCTGCGCTTTGTGTTGCCTCGACACACTGGCAAACATGCACTCTTGTATGCTGAGGGTATCGTTCATGAAGGTTGGTCAAGGACAGACGCAGTCAAGCAACGTGGATACAAACCGTTCTCGGCGCTTGTGGAAGTTTCATGCTGTTTTCCTAGTCGGTGACACAGTCGGACTCAGAATGCATCGACTAGCAGGCTTGGTGTTGTTTAAGAAAAACAAACTGGCGTCTACTCGAGAGATTTCTTCCTCGTGAGATTTGAGGTGTGACTGTGTGGTTTGAGGAGATAATGTGAATGCAACCTGTCGATAAACACAAGTTAGTTTGAATCTGTGAAGACTATGATGCGACCAAACGCAGCAGCAGCAGCGTATCACTGTGGATCCTTACAGAATATTAGGTCTCTAGTTTCCATTAAAGTAGTTTCATGTCGGATGCCTTACGTATATACACATACCAGATGCTTTGAAATACCGGCTGCAGCATCTGATTTCCATATGATATCACACTGCCTGCTCTCAATGTCACACACCTGTGAGTAACTACTTTCCATCTTGACTCCATGTGCTCCAAAGAGGAAAACAATCTTGGAATGAGCTTATTCATAGTTGAATATATTTGTGTTCACTGTTCTTGCTGCACAGAATGTACAGACGTCTGAACTTTTCTCAGAGAAGCGGCGGACAAGTGCACTGGTTTACGGTTAATCTATTCTCAGTTATTTACCCTCACGCTGTTTTTAAACAACTTCCCTTGAATCTGAAAGTCAATACATTTCTATGTTGAGCATTTCCGGTGCCATCTCTGGCTTGTTTCTACCTGGCCGTGCACATTTTTATCCTGCACTGCAGTGGGAACTTCAGCAACAGCTTTTCACCTCTCAGCTGGCAGTCCTGTGACTGTCATTGTGACCTTCCTGTAACCGGCCCACAGGAAGGGACTTTGCTTGATTATAATGCTGAGAGATGGGCTGTGTACCTTGGAACCAGCAGGCCACAGAATCTGCAGAGTTTGCACAGAGCTTTTTAGAATAACAAGGACTGCAGGTTTTTTTTTTTCTTCTCAATACGGCGGTATTTCTGTGCAAACGCAGACACAATTTTAGTTTTGAGCGCTCAAACTTCCTGTTTTGTAGTGAGCTTGTATCTTCCCACATCTTTCACATTGTGTTTCTCAGGATGTTTGTGTGTTGGTGCAAGTGTGGAAAGAAAAAAAACATTGGTGCCGCTGTAGGTGATAGTAACTCATTTACTTAAGATGAGAAACCAGTTCAGAGTAAGTTATAAACTAGTTAATCTGTTTCTGTTTGTAGTTAAGCAACCCATGGGGGTTGGACTCCACAGCATGCCTGTATCAGCCAGAACCAGGCAGTGAGAACTGTCTATAAACTCAAGAGACACAAAGAGGATTCCTAAATTGTGCTCACATTTCATCTTGCACATCAAACTCTTATGTGAGAATAAGGGCCGTAAATATGCACATCACAAGTTGGGTGCAGGGCCAGAAATGGGCAATGATGAAAAGAATACACGTTGACATTTAAAAATAAAATAAACAGTGTCCGGGTTGCAATCAGATATTTGTCACGCTGAAAACATTCAGAAAATGTTGTGATCCCACTTGGGTCTTCTCAGGAGCAGTAACATTTAGATGACATTTCAGTCCCAACCGTATCTGCTTTAGGTCAAAACTATTTTTAAGATGTTTCAATCCCAGTCGGATCTTCGTCTGTAGTATTTAAATTTTTTTTATTTTTTTTTTGGTTTGGAGTTGGTATGCAGGAAAAAACAACATCATTGCAGTATCATACAAGGAAACAGCCTGTCCAGCTGTCCCCGAGTTGAACCGCTTGCAGCTCACCCAAAAAAATGTAGGGTAATTTTTTGCATTGTCAAACAGAGCCAAGACATTCTGCATACTCATTCTTCCTTCCTGCCTGGATACTGCTTACATACACATCTTTTAGCTCACTTTTATTGAACTTCTTTAATCTTCCCTGCAGTAGTTCTGGTCTGTGCTCTTTTTCTGTTCCCCATTGATCGGCTGCACGGTTCACCTACAACATGCACAACTGCATGCATCAGTGTCGCCACGAGTCCATTTGTTTTGACAGATGATGCACTAAGTTGAATATAAATATTAATGGAGACAGAAGTAAAGGAGATTAGACTGTGGCAGTTTGTGCCTTAACATCCAAACTAGGAATCTCCTCAGCAAGCATGCAGAACACTCTGTTATCCGTGGCCAGAGCTGTACGCAGACTGCTGGAGCCTGGTGTTTCTTAGAAAATGCACAAGTGTTATTGTTAATACCTAGAATGTGTGCAAATAACAAAATCATAATAGGATTTGTAAGAAGTGGATTGGCGTTAAAGTTATCCCTGTCTGTCTAGATTATCTTTCAAGTTTTTTTTTCCCAAGGACGTTCTTCTGCCTACGTTTACAAAATCCTTTAAAGTGTTTTTTTTCCAGATGGCATAACTAAAGGATTACTTGTTATTCACATGATTCACTATCATCCTTAATGAGGCATTTGACTTGAAATGTAGATTTACTTTCTGCGACTGCTTCCAAACATGAAGGCCAGCAGAACTTTTGGATTTCTAATTCCAAGCGGTGGTTTTGCGGAGGAGTATTCAGTGATGGCTCCTGTCAAAACAAACAAAGTGTCCCACACAGAACGGATTAAAGATTCCCCCATGTGCTCCCTCCTCTCTGTGTTTGCTCATGTCTGGAAGGTGCAAAGAGAAACTGTCGTGATCTGAAAATGCGCAGCAGGTTCTGCTTTTTGCGTGTAGAAGTCAGCGGGGTGTGATTGAATCCAATTCACGCTGAATTTGTTTGGTCAGCCTAATGAAAACAAAGAGCGAGGAAACACACAGCGGTGAGATGAGATAAGATGGATGGAAACTGAGGTTGGTTGGAGGAGCTGTGAGGGGAATCAGTGGTGAAACTTTACAGTCGGAGAGCATGAGCTTCCTCCAAACCCCAAGCAGTCTCTTGGTGTTTATTTGCTCCTGTCATATTTTTATTCACTGTGGACTCATTTTTCACTGCAGTGTAAATTCCTGCACCTCTGTGGAAACGGCATGAGCATGACTAGAAGTAGAGAAGACTCAACAATGTCTCCTGTGCAGTATGACACAGATGTATTGCTGTAGATCATAAAAGTAAAAATAATTGAATTTCTTAGTTTTACCAAACTTAACCTAGAATTTACACTTTTTTGTTGTTGTTGTTCACAGCTCAGTTTATCTTAGCATCTGTGTTATATGGCGCTCCCTCCATCCTGGTTTTTTTTCTAAACTCAGGTGCTGTGCAGGTGCGTTTCACTCCGCCTTAGTGGCCCTGCCTATAGAGAGTGGAGGAGCGGCGTCGGATGCGGTCGCCGGCTGGTTGTTGCTCATCCCTGTGCTCGCTCTGCTCTCCGGCTTCACGCATGTCAGACTACCTGTCAGACATCCATCGCAACGTCAGCACCTTCGCCTTGTTTCATTTTTGAGTGTTTGCTCTTCCTCAAGTGGAGGACGGAGGTCTGTGTTGTTTACTGGTTTTTCTTTTCGATGGTAGGATAGGCTGTTTCTTCTGCCGTCGTTCAGAGGGGAAGCTGCGGGTCTGTTGCAAGCTTGGTCTGGGTTTTAACCTGGTTTTTGTGTTTATTTCTACCAGCCTCCGGTCTCTTGTTTTGTGTTGGTTGTTTGTAAAGAAAACCGGATGTATTTTAGACTCGCAGTGTCTGGTATGTTTCTGGTCACTTGCTCTGAGCCAATTTTTTTGGTGCAAATAATTTATTTTTGACCGATTCTTAAATGACAAGTAAATCAAAGCGATTCTGATGGAGTATCGTGATTTTAGATTCAGATTTGGTTGATTTTCCCACAACACTGCTTGTCAAGCATTACATTAGTTCAAGAACTGTTGAAGATCTGACTGTTCCTTCTGATTTTACAGGTTCTGATAAATGTTCTAAATTTGGTAGTTTTGTTTGTATGTTTTTCTTTATAAAGACAAAGTGCTGGTGGGGATTGGGATGTCGAGGGTTAACTGCTGTTTCTCTAACTCGGTACTTTGGGCAAAAAACATCTAAACAAACGTGATGCACTGAAAAATACGAGGCTTGCATTTCAATAAGGGTTATTATTAATTATTTATTTGCTGTATCTGCTTGTGTATGCTTTACATCTCAATATGTGCTTTACAAGATTTTTATGCAGATTTATTTTTTTCATGCAGTGTCTGATATTCCGTCTCTGCACCATGTTGGAACAATCTTTCCTTTGCACCTGTTAATTTGCTCCCACTCTTTCCCGCAGGCCTACAACATCCATGTCAACGGCGTGCTGCACTGTCGGGTACGCTACAGTCAACTCCTTGGCCTCCATGAACAGGTGAGGTTTCAGCCGTCACGGTAAACACGGCGCGCTGTCTCTGCGCCCTAAAGCCCAGGTTTGTATGTGCGGCGCTCTGGGTCTTGTGTAAATGCCACCACGCCCACCCAGTGTGACCTTTCATTCGTCTTTGTGCCGCGCGGTCAATACATCAGCCGTCCCATCGCTTTGAATCACGACCACGGTGGCTTGAAAAGTCCTGTGCTCTCCAGCGTGCTCAGACTATTGCCAGTAAATATGCAGTATTGTGGTGGAGGCTGGAGGGGGTGGGTGACATGGAAGGAATGTTCTTGGCCTTTCTTACACTTCACCTGCTGGGAAAAGGAACTTAATCTGAAAAAGAAATGTTGTTGGAAAGTGTTGAGTTGCCTGGTCTTAAGCATTTTTCGGTCTCTGCCTCGGCGACGCTTTACGCAGAGCCAAAGCTATTTTTCAGAGCTGTTATTAGGCAATTAGTGTAATCAGCATCTGCTTGTTTTCTGCAGTGCCGCGGCTGAAAATTAACCCACTTGTGACGGCGCTTCACAAACGGCGTCAATGAGTTAAATGCATTGTCTGTAAGCGATGAGGTCCGTCGTTGGATTTCTCGCTGCTCTTTGTGCTCGGAGTCGTGTATACCGCAGTATATAGAAGCCTACAGCCTTTCAAATGGCCAGTCTCCTGCTTTTACACATTAATAAATAAGCAAGCAAGGGCCAAACTTCACAATCTCCATCCTCAAGTCTGTGTTATCCAGTCTTGACAGTTGCCGTTGCCTGGCAACAGGGTGTGGGAAAGACACTGTCGAATCTTTAAGCATCAACCCCAAAGGGCTTCCTGTGGCGTACGCACGACCCCGAAACGCTCCGGTGATTATGGGGCACACACTCTGCTGAGTTATTGCAGAGAAAATGTGGATGTTAATTGTTTCTCTGCTGCAGTCAGAGCCCGTTTAAAGCCCACAGTGAAAACAGGGCAAGCTCTGTCATACAAGCTTGCATTCATGTTGGACTTAAGGGACTTTGATGAATCTGGAACTTGTGCTCATTGTCTGTGGCTGTGATGTCTGATTTGTATGTGCAACCGGTGCCGCCTCTGACGTACTGAAAATACCAAAGGGCAGCGTGTCGAAGTGAAAATCACCTCTCTTCCTCTAACACCCACTGTGGCCTACCTACATCGTGCCATATGTGCCAGACCCGTGCGTTTTTATAACGAGGGAAAAAAAAAAATGTTCCAGTGAATTCCTAATGATGAGTGTGAAGAATTGCCTTCGCCTGCAGGAACTCAGAGGTTAAAATTAAACCGCATTTGATGTGCGATTGTAGATTTGCGAGGTTTTTAGTTTAAGACTTCCACGGTTCAAAGCGACCAGGCCTCAGATGATAGAAAATGGAAAGAAATGAGTCAAGAAACTGGAAGACAAAGTAAACTTGGAATGACTAGACATTCAAGGTTCCAGATGTGTGTCTGTGTGTGTGCTGGGTGTGTGTGTGCGCGCTGGGTGTGTGTATGTGTGTTATGCACGGAAACTCCACCAGCTAGCCGTTGAAAAAGGGCTTAAAAATAAACCTGTGATTCATCTCAAACAGTCTGAATGTACCTCTTAGAAAAATGAACTCTTAAATTCAAGAGGCTGCTACTCTATACTGAAGGTAACAGGTTTTAATTATGTAAACCCATAAGATGTTATTACGTTATTAAAAGGCCCAGACTCATCTGAAATATCCTCTGTTAACCGTTTAAACCCGAGCAATACGGGCCGCGTTTGCTTCACAACTTGTGGTTTGCATCAACAGATAAAGAAAGAATACGGCAGCAATGTGGTGCCTGCCTTCCCCCCAAAGAAGATCTTCACGCTGACCCCTGCCGAGGTCGAACAGAGACGAGAACAGCTGGAGAAATACATGCAGGCTGGTAAGTTATTCGTGCTGAATGGACCTTTTACAGATGGCTTGTATTGCATTTCACTTTGTTTCTGGATGAATTTAAATCCCAGCTACACTGTGGTTGTTTTTTTGTCAGTGTTTAAATTCTTCTTTGAAATGCAGTTCACATAGTTTATTCCTCGCTTTTAAGTTCAGAGGGTAGGGGTGTTTTTCATGCCATGAAAAGAAAGAAAAATGCACGCAAACTTTGCAGCACAAACATATACATAAAATCATTTCCTTCAAATGCATCTCCACAACAATCAGAGAACGAGTTGGCTTGGCGTCTGCAGGGAGTCTGGCCATACACTCGTCTCTTCATGCCACATAAAAGCACAAATGTTGCACCAAACAGCCGATGATCTGAGCGTGAAGTTAGCTGGGACACAAAGCTTCACTTGACAGAGATATGCTGGCACACCTTATGGGGAAAAAGTCAGGATCTCAGACTTGGTAGGGGTTTAAAAAGTTTGATGGATTTAAATTCTCTAGTGATGACGCACTGCTCTCTGAATTCAAAACTGAATGCCATGGAGATTGAGCCTGCACTGAGAAACTCACTTTTTTATTTTTTTATTCAACTTGCTCAGTTTGGGTGGTTTTCATCATATTACCCAATTTTGTAAACAGGTCAAGGGTGCGTTTTCTGCGTACACACATGAATAAGGGGAACTGGCAGCAATGCACAGGGTTTGTTTTAATCCTTTCAAGCACTGGCGGTTACAGCAGAACAAGGAAGCGTTGTTTGAGTGTGTATTTGCTCATAGTCTGGTAGCATACGCACACAGGGTGTTCTTGGCTACAAGTTCACTTGGTTACATCATGGCCTTTTACATAGTTATGGAAAATGAACTGCCACAAACACAATCTGCTCTGACGCAGATGGCTCAGAACTTTCACATTTTGTCAAACGGTTAGACTAATTTGTAAAAGCACAATAGTGTACAGAATGACAGTCATGTGGTAGTCATGCATGATTGTCATGTAGATAATTACATGCGATGCTCTGCAGCTTACAGCTGCCTCAGTAAAAAAAAAAAAAACAAGACGAGTTAGTCATCATTTGTTTCGAAACTTATTATGAAACATACAACATAGAAAGCTCCTGGTGGTCATCACAGCTGCTGCTTTTCAGGAACTGTCACCCCGGTAACCGAGAACATGGAGGAGAAGCTCGATCTCCTCGTCTGAAGAACAAGTAGATTATACAAAGCCAAGCCACAATGGTTGTCTAATATGTTTATATAGAGTCAAAAATATTGTCGCTGGAACAAGTATTACACGCTGGGTGAGAGGGCTTTTTTGATAAGGACTTCCCCGACACCCTGCCAACGTTTGTCTGCCAAAGAAAAAACAGATATGGACAACTGCCTCAACAAACGTCTAGAAAAGTCCAGTTTCACAAGAACAGAATTAAATTGCATGACAAGAGGAAATAGAAAATAGCTCCACTTACAGAAGTGTTTACAACTGATTGCTAACTTATCAGTTCAAGACCAAACCTCTCTTGTTGACTTCAGTCACTCCTTGAATCCACAAAACGTTGAGATATGACTCATATTGGAACCATGCTGCTGACTCACTTTCTCTCATCGGTCCCTTGTCGATTTCTTAACAGTCCGTCAGGATCCTTTGCTCGGAGCCAGCGAGATGTTCAACAGCTTCTTACGGAAAGCACAGCAGGTTGGTAACTTTTTTTTTTTTTTCCTTTTACCTGAATTAGACCATTTTCTGTTGCACCAACATGATCAACAGACTTGGCAGGAGGTGCTGAATGTTCCTTGCACCAAGATGCTGATGCAGCCATTTGTGTTCCACTAGTAATTAGTTTTGGCGTTGTGGTGGAGTGAGACAGAAGTGTTCTTGCTGTTTGTCGCAGTTTGCGGCAGCGTGTACTGTTATCACGGATTGTGTCATCTTTTCTTGTGAGCTCCTGGTTGGATGTGTGGAATGATTTCATCAAACATGACACTGGGAGGAAGGCAACCGTTTGCCAGCGTAGTTGCATTGTGTGTGGGAACCAGATCATTTTGAGCCATTATATTATTAAAAAAAAAACAAGTGAGACACCTGATGATTCATCCCCACAAGATTTGCCAAAAAGCGCTTTCTGCAGCACCAAAAACGGTCGATGCCGTAAGAACAAACTCATTTCAACGGGATGATGTGTCGGTGATTTATTCAGACCAGGTTGCAGAGTTGATTTGTCATCGTACAGGTTGCGACCTGCATCGCCAGCAGGCCTGCAAATCACCTCGACGGACAGATTCATCCATCTGCAGCCACGTCACACCCATCCTGCTTCTTCCTCCGTGTCCTCCTCTGCTCTCACATTAGCACATTAGAGTCAATGTTTGCGGACCCCCCCCTCCCCGGCCTACTGCGATGACGGCAGGTGCAGAATAGGAGATGACTTACCGCCCGGTGTTGTTGTTTCATCTGCACTTTTAGTGGTAGGGCTGCTCTTGAAGATCCCCGCTGTGGGAGCAGAGAAGACAAGAGATGATGAGAGATTGCCTGGGGACAGGAGAAGCCGGGGCGACCCCCTCCCAGATCTCATGTTTTTTTAATATCAGCTCAGAAGCCATTATTTAGAGTCTGAATTGTTATTCATCGATTTTGTGGGAATTTGTTCTGCCGTCTGTCTTGTTCGCTCGAGGAATGAACTCGAGCGTAAACAGCAGTATTAAACTAAAATAAAGGAAACTGAGGATTCTGTTTATTTCTGCGTGAGCCGACAGAAATAAAAATAATTGGAAGAGAAGAATGTGGCTTTAACAGTCAGTCTATTGATGCATTTGATCAATAAGGAGGAGATTTTGATGATGTGATACCTGCCTTTCAGATGTGCTTTTTTTTGCTGGTTTTCTTTTTGTAAGATGAGTATTTGAAAGAAAATGATACCGGAAACCATCGATAACGTTCAGTCTGCAGTACAAGTTAGTGATTATAGAAGTTTTATTTATTAATGGCTAATAATGCACTTAAGATTTTAACATCAAGCTTGTGGGTTTTTTGCCTTGAATCAGTCCTCAGTGTCTGACTTCATAATTTGTTTATTTCAGACTTTAGTTGATGCAGAAAAACAGAAATGAATCCAACCCTAACGTTCTTTTAATGTGCTGTTTGATGTATTTGTGTTGTGAATAAACTCGATTCCAGTCTCAACCGTAGAACCAACCTATGCAGCTGCACTCGTAGAACCTTTTGGGTCCAAAGTTGATCAGAATTTGGTTTTATCCGCCCTCATATGAAGACATTATAAACAGCGTAATGAAATCAATGGACGTGTTTGTATCTCTGGTTCAGCTCAGCTCCTTCCAGCCTGTGTTTTTTTTTTTTTTTTACATCTACGTGTCCTGCTGTGATTTTGTTGACGACCGACAGGAATGAAAACACATAGCTTACCCATGAAGCTGATTTAAAGCCTGCCATGTTTTGTGTCGTTCCCACAGGAGACCCAGCAGATTCCCACAGAAGAGGTTGCTCTAGACATCTGCCTCTCCAACGGTCAGAAGGTTACAGTCAACATCCTGACCTCGGATCAGACGGAGGATGTCCTCGATGTAAGTGCTCGAGTGCACTCGGTTGCAGAGACACACTTTCAAACAGTCTCCGACTTTACATTTTATGAATATTAATTATATTTTCAAAACTAGATGCTGCTGAAAATTACTCAGACGTAATAAATAATCCTCTGTAGACGTAATAAAACTATGATTACACCTGATTGACTCTACATGTGGCCAGATGCCTCGACAAATTTTTTTTTTTTCTGTGTTTCAACCTTTGCAGCATCTGCAGTATTTGTGTCTGTTTAGCTCGTGGTATTTGAGTGCAGCTCTTCGTAACAGGTCTGGCAGAAACCTGGGATTTCTCCAGGCGAGCAATATCGCTGCAAACTCTCCTGTGAGCTCCGAGACGCGACATACCGTAAATCAAATTAAGTCATGTTTATTTATTTAGACCCTCCTCGCCAAAGCAATACTTAAAGGACTTTATGAAGTCTGGGCTACTTCGATCCAACCAAACAAAAGTCACTAAACAAAATGAGAGTTCACAAACAAAATCCGATGAAGTGAACAAACACACTGAGAAGCACGATGCTTCACAGGTTTATGTAAGAATGCACGACGTACAAAACCACAAAAGTAATGATTATGAGATGATTAATCCATCCATCCATCATCTATACACCGCTTAATCCTCATTAGGGTCATGGGGGGCTGGAGTCTATCCCAGCTGACTCAGGGTGAAGGCAGGTTCACCTGGACAGGTCACCAGTCTATCACAGGGCTGCACTTAGAGACAGACAACCAAGCACACTCACATTCACACCTACGGACAATTTACAATCACCAATTAACCTCAGCATGTTTCTGGACTGTGGGAGGAAGCTGGAGAACCCGGAGAGAACCCACGCTGCACGGGGAGAACATGGAGACTCCACACAGGAAGATCCCGGGTGTCCTTCTTGGAAATATACTGTAAAAAAAATCAACATTTCAATAATATTTACCACTTATTTTTTAAAATCTGTCAAATAGCGATTATGACCAAACCCTTCAGTTTATCCGCTTCACCTTTGATCTTTATTGGCCATTAAAACACAGGAGAGCACACACTGAAGTAACTCACACACATGCTGCTGTTGCATCACGATGCCTTTTTAGTCCGTCTTGGTTTAAAATCAAACTTGTTATAACGTCACTTGATGTTCTGGAAAATTTCACGTGTCTAACAAATATTGTGTGTTTGTAACTGTACTGAAGACATTAAGAAAAATGATGCTTCTGTCTAATTATCGTCTCTTTAACGGACCGATGAAGCCAGAAGTAGTAAATATCTCATGTCAGTTACGGGGTTTAAAGAGACTCTGTACAAACACCCGATTTTTTTCTTTTTCAGTGCACACACAGCAATGAACAAAAGAATTAGAATCTTTTCAAATCAGTTCAGATCTGTTATCTGCTCTTTGCGAAAGTCGCTCTGTTTTGGTGGTAAAATATTGTAGCGTCAAGGAAAAAGGCAGCATACGTTTGACTTTGTGTTTAATGGTTTTCAGAGTAATTGCTTTTGATAAATAGAAGCCTAAAATGAAGGCTAGGTAAGAGAAGAAAGCCCATTTGTCCTCCCAACAGGAGTCAGTATACACATCGTTTACTACTGAAAGACATGTTCGTTAAATCCTCCTCCGTTTCAAAACCTGTCGCGAGATGGTAAAGTATAACTGGCTAGTTTTTAATACACAAGGTCATTCCTTTTTTTGTTTTTTTGAGCTGTTTTTATCCGTCTTTAATCCACCTTTTGAAAGGTTTACAGAAAAATAAAACTCAGATAATAATGAATTGAATTTCCCTCTCGCTGTTTTTTGTGCAGGCTGTCGCGACGAAGCTCGACCTCCCAGACGACCTCGTTGGTTACTTCAGCCTCTTCCTGGTCCGTGAAGGTGTGGATGGAAGTTTAACGTGTAAGTAACAGAGAACAGTGAATAAAAGCAATCCCCTTCTGTTGGAAAGTTTTACCTGCAGCGTCTTAATAAAATGATAAATACTGCTTAATTACACGGTAACTAAAATCCATTTTTGCTGCAAGTTTGAATTAATGTGCCAACAAATAGGACCATATTTCCATTAAAAGCATCCATAAAAGCCATTAGTGCTGATTATTTAGGTCCCTGGAAAAGCTTTTATCAGTAACTTCTGAAATTTCTATTAGTGGTTTCAGGTTTTTTGAGGCACTAAAGCTGGAAACCATCAGATAACGAATGTTTGTTCAGGCAAACTGAGTGCGGAGCACATCGAGCTCTTTGATAACGTAGTTTATGTTTCCATTATTTTATCAGGTCAGCCAAGGATCATTCTCAAAAGACTCACAAATCATACAGGACAAATTATTTTAAGAAAAAGGGACAGGAACAGAGGAAAGTAGGGGGGAAAAAAGAACTGTTAGGCTTCACTTAAGAATGTCTGGCTTTTGATTTTTCCTTTACTTTAAATCTTCTGCAACAAACCAGCGGCTCAGTTTATTTGTCTGACTGTTTGGAGATACGCAGTAGTTAATTTCAAAAAGACAGGACAGCGTCACCCCATGAGAGTTGTATCTGGTGCTTGAGTTCCTGCTGTATCTCTTGCTAGAATGCATAATTTATTTATTAGGTGCTCGATGAGAGCCAGGTGTTTGTTGGCTGCAAAATAGCTGCAGCGTTGAGAGGCTCCTGAGCCTTCGCATGCTGCTGTCTGCTGCGGTTCGAGCTCTAATGCCTGAAACTTGAGTTTGTTGCAAAATGGCGTCGCTATCACTCAACAACGTTCGATTAATGAGGGATTTGCTTCCACTCAGACTGCAGGATAAGTGTACAGTTTCAGCGGACGGTTTAATTTGGCGTGCGCTTTGAACTGCTGGGACAGAATACTGTAAATATAAAGATTCAATTACATGAAAGAAGATGTGTTTGTTGTCCGTTGATGTCCTGAAGATAGATCGCTTAGGCACAGTTCACGTGCTCTTACTTTGTTTTCTGCTTTCGCTGTCTAAGCCCACAATGATTCATACACCTGCCAGGTTTTTATTTCTAGTGAATTATTTAACCAACACATGTTTCTTCTGGCTGGAAATGACAGAAGCAAGCACAACAAAGCAATAGAGATGTTAATGATCCATTTTAACTAGTTCCTTTTTTTTTTTCCCATTTCTGCAATAACCGCCATGTCCAAGACTATTCATACCCTTTGTTAGTGTCTAACAAGTGTTTTTCATGTCTCCACTGGAGTTTCGAACCACTCCTTCCCTCCACAGATACTTGACGTGATTCAAGTTCAGACTCCGGCTCAGGTCACACCAACATGTTGATGCCGTTCTCTGTTTCTTGACTTGGTTCTACCTTTACGGATCATTGACCAGTTAGAAGGTTAAATGCTGCCCAAGGGCAAGTTTTCCTCCAGAGTCTTAATGTCGTCCTCGTCTCTCATGATGCCATTTGCTTAGGTAGGGTTGCCTGGCTTTCTGGCTAAAAAGCACCCCGATAACTTTGTATTCCTGCCACCATGCCTGGTATTCTTTGGATTGAATGCTTCTCCTTTCTTTCGCCAAATGAAAGCCACGTCCCTGCGTCCAAACAGCTCTCATTTCATCTCATCCTACCACAGAGCTGATCACCAAATCAGTGCTCGTCTGTGTCCAGGGCAGTGTTTTTTTTTGTAAATGAGCTTTGTGTGCCAGTCTTGGAGAAGTGCAGTCCTCCTTTTGCTGGCATCTATTGAGATCAGCTTGACATGTTGCTGCCAGAGCTGCTCTGATTCATCAGGACAGTTTGGTGGTGAACGCTGGACTCTTCTTGGCCTCTCACATGACTTTTTTTTTTTTTTTTTGCCAGCGCAGGGATCACTCTTGGCTTCCTACCATGGCTTTTGAAATTTTTCAGTGTGGAACCCATTTTAGTTTCTGGTGACACTTGGCACTGTGGCCACTGGCACTCCAACACTTTGACTCAGCTTTGTAGCCTTTCTCAGTTTTATGAGCAGCCACAACGTGCGACTGAAGGTCCTCACTTCTGGGCTCTTTGGTTTTAGCAATGACTTGCAATTACCGAGTACCTGACTGGAGATCAGCTGCATCAGTTGTTCTCAGTTTATAGTTTACCAGGACCAGTTTGAATGATACAGAAGCTGCATTTTCTCCAAAATGAAACTCATCATTTCCAGCCAGGAGAAACCTACTGGTCAAATAAAACCTCAGCATAGATGGATGTGAATATGAATGAATGTGGGGCTCTTGAAAACAGAAACGCCACATCTCACGGGGTTTATTCTCACTCGCTTTCTCACACCTTTGCCGAGTATTTGCACCTGCGTTCGTGAAAACCTGCATAACACAGGCGAGCAGTTTGTTGCGGCATCACAAACCCTGTTGGGTAAAAAACCCCCCACAGTCCCAATAACTCTCTTCTCTTCCACCTGCCAAATGCTTCCCTCACACCAAATCCATTCCAGGCTGAAAACGGTGCCAGGTGAACTCCTGTAAATACCGCAGACATGTTCTTTATTCCACCGTTTGAATCTGAAGACGTGAGGAGGGCCATGTGGTGAATGTGACTCGACTGTTGGAATCCGGAGCGGCAGGCTGTGGATCAAGCAGAACCGATAGTGGGAGGATTGACATAACAGGATAGCCAGAAAAATTCAATTCGGCTTCCCAGAGGCCTGTTTGTAAATCAATACATGCTGTAAAATATGCAAAGCCACGTCAGGAGGAGCCGGTACGTGATTAGAAATAGTGGTGCCGCTCTTCCTATTTGCCTTTTTTTATTTCCAGTCTCCCACTGATGATTCACTTAGAGGCTAAAAATGTTCCAAAACATTTTAAGCATTCAGTTTGTTTGTGTGTGTGTGTGTGTCTTTTTATTACAGCATCAAAGTAACCAGCATGTGTTTGTATTTCTTGTATACAACATCTCCGCCTGTAATGGAGCGAATGTACTTTTATAAACCCGACCGCAAACTAAGATGCTGTTCAGTCGTGTCATTTGTGGTGCTGAACACATTTATTGATGCCTAAAAAGTGAGCAGCAGCAGCAGCAGCAGCAGCAGCAGGAAGGACCTGAGATCTGCTTCAGCCTCCTTAGGGAATGAAACAGCTGCACATTATGGACACGCAGACACAAGAGCCATTATCTTTTTTTTAACATTTGAATACTCAAGCACAGAAAGTTTTACCCTGCTGGGACCTGTCCAGATGGTGTGTTCCCATCCGTCATTGTTTGTTGTTACCATCATTATCCATGTCCTTGGGACTTGAGCTGCACTTGAGCCTAACTCTTTCTCTTTTTTTTATCTCCGTCTCTCCCTCAGTTGTCCGGAAGCTACAGGAGTTTGAGCTGCCTTACGTGTCCATTACCAGCTTGCGGAGCTCCGAATTTCACATAGTTTTACGGAAAAGGTACAAACCACCTGCTCACATTTGTCCTTCCCACAACTTCTCTGATATATTGTTCTTCTAAACCTATAAAGAAAAGAAAGATATTTCTGTTTGCAGCTCGTACGCCATCTGCTGTTCTCGGTGTAATTAAATTCAGTTTGTTTATATATTCTGGGTGTTGCTTACCAAATTTCTTATCTGTGGTGGAACGTTTGTTCTTGATGTGGTGGAGAGACAGTTAGGTTAACCATAGACTGCTTATCGATGTCACCAAGAAACCTGTGTTTGCTAAAGACAGTAGTTATCATGAGCAGACAGTAACCGTGTTTGACCGTCACTGTAGAGAAGACAGGGATTAAACACTGACATGAGTCTGATGTTACTGCACCAAAGCACTCTTTGTCTAACCACAACTAGTCATATTGCAATTTAAAGTCTATAAATGCACAGCCCAGTATGTTTAACTGGTCATACTGTAGTTAAACTAGACAAACAACAAAAGCATGACATGCATTTCAAGCATAACAGATAACTGAGATTACATTTAGTAATTATATGATCATTCAGCTCGCTGTATATCGTGCGTCACATCTTTCAGCCCGACTACAGAATTCCCTGCAATGATCTTTTTAATTTATAACGTCTTCAGCTGCAGTCAGAATCATGTGTCACTAATTAACTGGAAAGCCTGAAATCAGAGGGGTCGTTTACACTGATGTTTAACCCTCTGAACCAGTCTCTGGGTCACAGTTTTTACTCACTGTGGGTTTATTTTTCACTGCAATAATAAATCATGCACCTCTATGGAAACGGCACAACCATGGCTAGAAGTAGAGAGAATATACAGATGTCTATTTAGCACTTTGACACAGTCATAATACCATAAATCGTGACAAAAGAAAAAAATACAATTAAAAATGAAAAAACTGCAATGAACAACATTTTTCCAAGTGTCCACATGTGTTACCAGTATGGAAAAAAAAACAAAAAACTCTACGTACTCTAAATTTTTTACAAATTACATTTTTAATTTGTTCTCAGAAACTCAGAGGCTCTTAGACTTTTTCGTGTTGATGTAAAACAATGATGCAACATCTGGATTTTTTCCATTTGAAACCATAAGTCACCCATGATTAGTTCGAGGACCATTGGAAATGTGAAAATCCACTGACTCTTGGCTTTCTTCCAGACCTCACAAGACCTCAAAGAACATGTACAGCATTTGTTCAAGTGCACCCTGCAGGTGTTACCAATAATGTAAAAAAACAAATGTGGATCTATATTCTATAAATATGTTCTTTCTGTCAGCGGGATTTGGGGTTCAGAGCAATACATTTGTCTTTAGTGATCGTTGATTGATTACCAGCTTTAAGCTTTTTCTTGACATGAAGTTTGACAGCTTGAGGAGAAATGAACAGCCTCAAAAACCCCCATAAAATTGAACCTGCACCTCTCTAACACACAAAGCCGTAGCTCTTCATTGTCTCTATTTGTTTTTCGTCAACAAATCTTCCGGTTCTCGTCTATTTTGGTTGACATGTGCAGGGAAATTAGTGTCACCGAGAGCTGCATGCCACAAAAACTACAAAAATCTGAAAAATCTCGATGGGTGGGAGCGACTGCGTTTAGCCGGGCCACCCAAACACTCAATTCACGCAATATACCGACTTTCCATTCAGCCTGAACTTCTGCGATTTCTCCCCTCGTCGACATTTTTCCCGTCCTTCATGTGTCTGTTCTTTCGTCACCCTGCCTCCCGCTGACTCTGGAGGTACACAGGATGTTTACTTTCTTTCTGCCTCAAGGAAAGTCTCAGTCCTCCTGACCTAGTTTCACTGTGGAGTGTGGAGGAGCGAGGGAAGAATGAATGTAGAACTAACAAGTGGAGGTGGAGGAAAAACAGACCCCCAGTGTATGAGATCCAGGGGAAGATGAGGTCAGAGTGAATGAAGAAGAAAAAAAAAAAAAGGCTCTTTTTGGCTAAGTGTGAATGCTAAAAATGGAGGAAATGTGTCTCAGCCCACTGAAAACATTGAATTTACAAAACGTCAATCATTTTTCATTGCAGAGTTATTTAAAGCATTTGTGAAAATTAAAGCCGGCTGTTTATGCTCGCGGCAAAATTATCTTAATACAGTATTTATGTACAATAGTCTGGCTATGTGGTATTTTTAGGGCAATATTCCAACGAATGCTGCGTCTCAGCGGGGTCTTTCAGTGCACCGTCGGTTGAATCTGGTAACAGACAGAAAACACTACGCTACAGATTCCTGTTCCTCCCTGTCTTTTCCTCCTCCGTTCACCCCTCTCCTTCCTCTTCTCTCGTGTTTTGAAATGCCGATGTGGCCATGCAGCACGCTTCACGTCTCCTTGAACAACTTCTCCTTTTGCTGACGCTCCCTCGTGCCGTTACAACACGTTAAATTTCACGCCTGCATTAAAGCGTTTTGGAGACATGAATACAATGAAGAGTTTGTTGAAGTGGATTAAAAAAAAAACTGTTAACTGAGGCAATAATAATCCTCAACTGAGGTCTGAAAGTGGAATCAGTTAAAGGAATTCATATCTAGAGGCTGAGAGATAAATATACTCCAAAGTATGTGCTCTCTTTTTCTTTCTTTTCCTGTAATCAGATTTGCGCGGTCCCGGTTTCCATCCTTCTCTGTAAACGGGCAGAGAGGAGTCGATGCATTTCTTTTGTAACGTCACGCTCCACTCCTCAGGCTGCCCTCTAGCACCCACACATCTCTGTGTGCAGGAACACCAGCAGTGCTTTTAATAGAGCTACAGTGCTGCCTCTGGCTCTTTGTATCGCTTCACTCACATCACCGTCAGCAGGCCAACCGTCCTTCAACCTCCACAGCAAATAGTCCTCGAGATGGATGTTTACGCGGCTCTCTCGAGCTGAGGAGTTTGTCTGGGAGTCGCTGGCATTTCTCAGAATTGGAAAAAAATCCCATTCTTTTTAAATGTATGTCTAATTTAATTGACTTTAAATGTACACCGGCCAGACAGTTTGTTTGAGACTGTCATGAAAGCACTCCGTCTATCTCCTACTTTGGTAATTTAGAGGCGTTCAGTTTATTTATTGGTTGATAGTCCTGGTAATATGTGAAAATTATGTTGGTTTCTCATAAAACAAGAAATTTGGACACATTGGGGCATGAACAGTTTCAGAAATGGAGACACGTCATCGTAGCCACTTTATGTATTTTGCACCATATCTCCCAAACTAAACAAAAAAGCTGATGTTCAATAACCGAGGATTGTAATAATATCATATACAACACCGTAAAGTATTCAGGTAAATAGTTATTAGTCAATTATCAGAGAACAAAGGTTTGCTATAGCTAAATTATACAGAGTTTTAAAGGTATATTCCTTCTGTTCATTTGGTTGTAGCAGAAAGTAAAATGAGCACCGTGGCTGCAACAAGGCGCTGTTGTGATGCTCGCAGTAACCAAGCTTCATACTTGAACATTGACTATGAAGCAGTTTGAATTCTTCTCAGGCTAAATAAACCTTTTAAACATATCAGATAGTTGAAAAACGCCTTGTCACAACACATAGAACAGATGTTTTTTGATGAAACATTCTTCAGGACACCAGCGCTTTGCAGAGTCATAATAATACTAATTGGTAAATGTACATATTATAGTCGAGCCAAATGTGTTTGAGGCTCAAGTCATTCATTACATGCAGCACATTAGTAAATGGTACCAACCACTGTGACGGGGCTGCTGTGTTCGTTGTAATTTATTTAGAGTATGTAAATGTTCTGTTGTGTTTCTGCAGCTACTGGGACATGGCGTACGACAGCGACGTAATGGACAACAGAGTGGGCCTGAACTTGCTATACGCCCAGGTAGGATATTTCATTACTTCAGTAAACCAGACGCTGTTGTTTGTTTCCATTTGCAGCCATTTGCAGCCGTAGTCTCGACAGCACCTTTTAAATTAAATTCCCCTTGAGATGTGCACCCAATCAGAAAATCCAAATTAGACCCGATAGCGTCTGTGTACATCTCGCATCTGTTGCGTTTTATTGAGCTCGCGCCGTGCCAGCATCACATCAAGAAAACTGAAATCAAGCAAGTGCGTCATGCTTTGGCTGCCAAATTTCTTTGGTCCATCCCCCGGGTCCCTCCATTATCTGATGGTGTTGTCAGCTTGTTTTGACTTTGCAACACCTTGAATCTCTTTGTGTACCTCTTTGATCCTATTAATAGCGAGCTCCCTTTGCTGCGACAGTCGCGATCTGTCGTATTAAGCACTTTTCAGGTTGCGAGCTTGATTAAAATCTGGAGCTGCTGAGTGCTGCCTCGGTGTAGCAGAACAGTGTTTGCTAGCATGTGCGTTCATGCATATTTCTGTGTAATTAATTTGCTGACCTGCACTGTTTACACGAAATCCCAAGAGGGAGATTTCTCCTACCCAAGGAAACGCAATAACCTGCTTTTATTCTGTTCAGCTGTGTAGAAAGATGAAGCTCTACCTCCTGGTTTTTTTTCCCTTCACCAGACAGTGTCTGACATCGAGCGAGGCTGGATACTCGTCAACAAAGACCAGCACAGGCAGCTGAAATCACTGCAGGAGAAAGGCTCCAAGAAAGAAGTAAGCAGGAGCATCTCTTCTGGAGGGTTCTGCCAGTACAGTGTGTCGCTGGAATCCAGCTGATACTCAGAAATGTCTCCGTCCAAGGATAGATCTGTAGACTACAGGGAGTAGTGCCTCTGGTGCATTCTGCTTTGCAATTAGCCCAGTTTTTTCCCATGATATGAATTTTTAATCACATCAATCCAGGAGAGAATTCAAACTTATTTTCTTCAGGGATTTCACTGGGTTTGGGGTTCAGGAAAGTTAGGCCTCTAAAAATTGTTTTCTTCTGCTTTTTTTTCCCCCTCCAGTTCATTCATCTAGGTCAGACGCTCAAATATTACGGCTACATCAAGTTCGACCCCTGCATCACTGACTTCCCCGAGAAGGGCTGCCAGGTCATCGTCAGCGCCGGCAACAACGAGCTCAACTTCCACGTCAAGCTGCCCAACGAACAGATGAAGGAGGGAAGCTTCAAGGTCACGCGCATGAGGTGTTGGAGAGTCACTTCTTCAGTAAGTGGAGGCGTGAGAGAGTGAATTCACCTTCAAGCTCACCTGGAAGCTCTGAAATAATACTGTTATTAGGAGACGACGAGCTGCCAACAAGGCCTCCTCTCGCTGCCGCACCAGAAAACTAAATGCGTCTGGTCCTGCCAAGCGCTGGTTTTTACACCAACTGCTGGCTGAAAGTGCTGACCTCCTCACCGTTTGTCTTCATCAGTCCAATTACCCAAACACGCAGCCCACACAAGGACGGCATCACCGTATTGATCCGCTAGATTAACACATAGAACAGCATCTTCTGTTTGAACTGATAATTATCTGCTGGCATGGAGGCGATGTGATGGCATCCATTAAGAGGAAACACCCGGACCGCCTTCTCTGTTTACAGGCCAGAGCGTTTGGATGTTACGCTTTGTGTGTTTCCTGGCTCTGCGCTTTGAAAACGGATATTTCGCAAAAAGTCTCAGCTTTCATTTAGGTTCCTATCAGTATAGAAAGTTGTGCGAAGGAAGCGGCTCCCAGAGTTTAGGAGTTCAGCAGAGACGGGACAGATGTACATGTTGGACCCACAGACATCACCAGATGCTTTTTATCTTCTCTGGTAATGGTCTCCAGGCCTTCAGCTGCAGCATGTGAGTCTCTCTGCCTTCAGTTTAGTCTTCAGCAAGTGGAATGTGGCTGAAATAGATCGAGATCAGACTTGGCCAGTGGAGGATATTTGTTTAGGATTGTTGTCCTGCTGGATAATATGAGATTGTGAGCGCACAGAATACTCCTGTTTACCTCCACACTCCCGCTAGTTCACCTACCGGCCAGATTTAGGAGGTGACTATGTCGTCAGATGCCTATTAAACCATGTGGACAGGCCAGGGGGCGCTGTTAAAAACACCTTCTTTGATTTCTGCAGCGCTTTTTACACCATTAGGCCTCCACTGCTGAGTTTCTGTTTCCCCTTCACACTCCAAACTCCAGGTGTGACATGGAGACCTGCCAGCGACAGACGTTCTCTGTTGACTGTGCAGTTGTTGGATGTGTCAGACGCACCAGAGGGTGGTGGACAGTTTAGTGGTTTGGTGTGAACTGAGCTGAACTTTCTGCGGGTCAGCATCAGCAAATAAAAATAGCCGGCGGTTGACTTCAGGAGATCCAGGACTGTCGCTGCTCCTCTTTCCATCGGACCAGAAACTGTGCAGCTCTCTGCAGGACGGGCCACAGTCGACTCTTTTCTTTTTATTATTCAGAGTTCTTTATATAGCACCAGTTCACAACGTAGGCCATCTCAACGTATGGGCAACACCTTACTGTATTAAATTATAGAGAGAAGCTCACTGGTTCCTTTTGAGTGAACAGTGGGAAGAAAAAAAATCCTTTGTAACAGGAGAAAGCTCAGAGGCAGATGGAGGCTCCATCCTTCAGTGTTTGTGCCACCTTACTCAGGATGTTTTATGAGTCTGCAGCGACGGAGGATGGATGATTCCAAAAGACGTCTTTATAAGGAGGCCAGCTCTGTCCTGAGGAGGGAGCTGGATATTCTAGTGTACGAGAGGAAGATGTTGTCAGAAGCGCTCTCCATCACGGACAAAAGCTCCCAGAGACTAAAAATCCTTGACTGAATGTCACAGAACAACCGTCCCTCCTGTGACCACCCACGTGTCTGAATGAATATTATAGAAGTTCTTAGTTTTATTGTACAACATCCACATCCTTTGCTGTAACAAAAGAATTTTCCTTCAGGGACTTTTCTTATTATTTATTAACTCCGTCACATCCTTCAGCAGTGAAACCATCAATAGGTGCCGGTTCCCCCGGCAGAACCGCAGCAATGTTTAACCAATGAGGTGGTGCTTTGGGTCATGAGCGCCTCCGATTTTTCTTTGCCTCTTCCTATTACTGTGATAGATTTTTGTTTTGTTTTGTTTCATCAGTCTAGAGAACTTTGGACGGATCGATAGTTGGGATTTTCAGCCCTTTTTTTTTTTCACGTCTCTAAATTTTCCCCCTGACTTTGTGAAAGTGGAATATTAAATACCTGGAGTGAATTTACTCCCGTTAACTCTGACTTAAATGAAATTAGCAGTGTTTCTGTTCATTAGAGACTGAAGCTGGCAGAAAAAAACATCTTTTAGATTAGATTAGAATAAAATACATCTTCGAATAGCTCCAGAAAACCTGAATCAGTTCAAAGTGTTTTGTGCCACACAGTGGATCTGCCTGTTCTGCTTTTGTTCCTGCTTCCAGCCCGTCAATTCTGTGAAAACCTGAACAATCTGTTTTGCTGAGAAAAGCATTTACACGAGGCTCTACCCACATAATTTCAGCTGACATTTAAAAGATGAACATTTGCAGGCGCGAGACCTCATTTAAATGGAGATGGGCGCCGCGGTTCACGTTTGTGTTGCGTTAATGTTTGAGCAGCGCAGTCATTATGTGTATCACAGGAGCTTTTATGAGGCTCCAAAAGTTAATTTGCACAGAGATCTGGACACATGGCAACACATGGACAAATTAAAATGCATCTTAGCCCGTGTGATTACAGACTGAGGCCCCATGCTGCCCGGCCGGGTGATTAATTCCTCGGCTCATTCTCTGAGGTCAAAGTCATTTTAATGAGCCCTTTCCTGTCCAACAAAATATTCAAAACATCTCATTTGGTGCCGCGCTGCAACCCCCCTCGTAGCCCAATCTCAAATTGCACACGGAAGGACACGTATAAACAGTCGGCATGTGTGTCAGACCTTTGTTTTTGCCTGCGTTTCTGCTCTGTGTGGTTAGCATGGGAGGTACGGCTGGTTTCTGGCCCAGAGGAAACAGCCTCAGCGTCGAGGCTTGTTTCCAGGGAGCTCCTCTGTGTGCGTCTTTGAGCTTCAACACACTTCGAAAGTCTCCACTTTGTATGTGTTTCTTTCTTTGCGCCCGTGTTAATCTTTTAGCGAGCATCTTCTTAAGCTTCCTGTCGTGTGCGACGCAGCAGCTCGAGGACGGAGGCTTTACGGCGAAGAGATGTAGGATAGGAAATGTGTTTGAGCTGCTTACATGGACCTCCGGTCATAGAGAAGAATAGCAGCTTATCCTCTGCTTAAGAAGGCAAGTTGGATGTCGGTTTGGAAATCTGTTCCTTTGTATTCCGCTCACGAGCAGATAGAAGGTCGGCGGAGGAAAAAAAAACAGGATGAACATAAATCATAAGCGGCTCAGTGAGTGTATTGTTCATTTAGGAGATGGTGATGAAGATAACAATGATGAGGACACCTGCCAAGCACCAAACCGTTCCTTCTCTCTGTTGCAGCAAGTCCCGATAGCCAACGGTACGACCAATCCCTGCAGCTCGGCCAAATGTGAGGTCAAACTGGAGCTGGCCTTCGAGTATCTGATGAGCAAGGACCGCCTGCAGTGGGTCACCATCACCAGCCAACAGGTGAGAGGTCGTTTAGAGGGCAGTCAGTGTGGGCACAGCATGTGTTTGTGTATGATTTCAGCATTTTTTAGAATGTTTGGGCACAAGATTAGCGCTCCTTTGTGTGTTGATATTGTCAATAAGCCACTTTATTTGCTCGTCGGATTACCTCAGAAATGCATGAAATATGAAAGCAGGTCTGTTTGTCTCGGCTCCTAAAAATCTGGGCTTTTGGAGGCGCTTGGTTTTCACTGGACAGGTTACACAGAGCATTAGTTGTGTTTCAATACAGTCCGTCATGTTCCTTTCCTTCTTCAGCTAACGTACACCCATATGAGGTGCGATCAAGAAGTTCAGGGACTGAGTCTGATATGAAAATTAAAAACTAATCCTGATTTAAATTCTGCCCCCGTCCCTGTCGAAGCAGCTCCCAGTGTTTGTCATTTCACCTCAAAAGCACCATCGATAATGAGCGCTGAATCTCTTTATCGGTGCCAGAGCAGCAACTCTTTTAACTTGCATTTAATTTTGGGGAAAAGTAGAAATCACAGGGAGCTAAATCCAGTGAGACGGGCACTTTGGGGCCTGTTTTGGGATCCGTTGGGAACCAACATGTCGTCACAAAAACATCCACAGGTTTCCACAGCTTACAGGTCGTACCTTAACGTGACGCAGCATCCTGACTGGTTACAGTCAATCACCACAACCAGTCCCAGAACTTTCTGATCAGCCCTCACATGCACAAGAAAGACTCTGCGTGAAACCATCCTCGTTGCTGGTCAGGATTTTATCGAGCGTCCGTTTCTCATTTCAGGCGATCATGATGAGCATCTGCCTTCAGTCGATGGTGGATGAATTAATGGTGAAAAAGTCTGGTGGCAGCATAAAAAAGGTTTGTAGAGGAGGTGACCTCAGCTCGTGCACCTTGAATGTGATGTTCAGCATCGTAGCTCCACACATACGCCATCTGACGGCCTCATTTCAAACATTAACAATCATTTTTATTGCGTCCTCACTTCTTTTGCTGCCTCCTGTCACACGTCAGATGCTGAGGAAACGACACAACGGCTCCATCCACCGGCCCGACAGTCAGCAAGCTGTGAAATCTCCCCCTCTACTGGTGAGACACGAGATGACAAGTGTGGAAACGTGTTGGACTCTGTGTAGACGTCAGATTGATGTTAATTTGACTCTGTTTTGTGTTCGGCTGCAGGACTCCCCCGACCCAAACCGTGAACAAATTGTCAAACTCTCGGTGAGTAAATCTTGAGAACACGTTGAAAGAAGCAACACAAAGCTGAACAACGCAGTCGATGATCTTCACTAATGATTCTGTTGATGCTTCCTTCCAGACCAAGCTGAGCTCGGTGTCTCTCAGAGGGATCAGCGCCTCCAACTCGGCAAACGACATCAGCGGCAACGATTTCCACGGCAACTACGCTTTCGAGGGAATCGGGGACGACGACCTGTAACCCCTCGTTCACATTCCTCCCCCCTACCCCACCCCCCGTTCATTCCACCGTTAACGACTGGGACGACGGAGACTACGAGCTGAGCCGAGCCGAGCCGATCGGTCCACGCAGGCGTCCACTTCTGCAAGATTGTAGCTTCTTCCTGGAGAAATCGCTGCCTTAAGCTCTCGTTTAATCTTTCCTTTAGGCTCTGAAGGCTCGATGTTTTAGTTCCAATCACCACATTCAGACTCTGTGTCCCCCCCAAGTGTTTGTTGAAGTCGTGGAAAACTACATGAAGAAAACCTGAAAGATCCTGGATTCTCTCCTCGGCGGCCGCATGTTCTTTTCCAACCAGGGAGCCGAATGTTTAGTCAGACCTGGCACTAGTGATGAGGAGTGGAGATAGCTGTCGGCGAGTTCCAGCGAATGTGTTGAAAATTGATCTCAAAACTGTAGAGCAGCCGCTTACCGATATCGATGTTTGGCTTGGCTAGAAACCAAAATGCTACGTTTTTATAATGTCCTCTGTATTTCACTCTGCTCGTTTGCCGAGTCAGCGAAGACATCGGCGGCGTTCTCAGCTTAGCGTCACTCGTGCTGCCTTCAGAAGTAGTCTGATGCCTTAACTTTACTTCTTTTTTTTGCCATTCGACACGACGCGGGTTCGAACTAAACATCTGCATCGTCCGGCGTTAGCTAGAATCTTGCAGAACGAGGTTAATGGTCGATTCGGCTGAGCTGCTCGCACTTGCTGAACCCATCATTTTGCACAGTATTACAGGTGGAGGCCGACGTTTGGAGGTGGAGGAAGGGGGGGCGGAGGGGCTCTGTACATCCATCTATGATTTTATTTTTTAACCAATTTTTTAAGGTTTCTCATAAATGCCAAATTATAGTTTACTAAAGCATTTTGCACAAAATAAACATAAAAAATTATGACAATGTCACTTTTTATATTATGTACATTCAATTAAGTATTCTGAACATTTACTAATATCTTTATCCTCATAGCTTATTGTAATCAAATAGATCAAATGTAGTCTAAGCTGTACGGAACAAAGTTTAAATGGATCAACATTTATCATGTTTACATCATGTTTTAGGGGACTTCTTTTGTTTGTTTTGTTTTGTTTTTTTAGTTCAAATGGAAAGTGTTTACAAATTTTCACATCTGATTTTCTCGTCGTTTTTCGGGGGCGTGTCGCGGGGAGCACTACTCTTCGGCTTCGGTTCGGTGTAATTTGTTTGTGCCAATCATCTCAGAGGATTTAGCTGAACAAGGTGCTTCGGTGAAATGTGATCACAATTGCTGGAGTGAATATAGTTCATGGAGGGCAGGCAACAAAATGAACATATCCCGCTGTTTTATAGCACGTGTCATTCCACTTTTATTGCGCTTGTTTCAAGAAAAAAAAAAAAAAAAAAGAAAAAAAAAAAGCTGCACCTCAGCACGTTATGAAGCCTCTAAATGTAAATCAGTGCCAACCTAGCAACAGCTTTACTCTCACTGGTAGCAAGAACTGCAAACAAAGTGTTCTCAACGTCTCGTTCTCTCACTGCTGTGATTCTTCTCAGCTCAGTTACTTTTAGAGTAGGGAGGAGGACGCCACCGGCCTTCTGGGGCTTTTCATGTTCTCTGTTCCTGTCAAAACTTTAAGCAAACAGGTCCTGGATGTTCAGTGTGTAGGTGCCAAATTCCACTTTAAAGTGCAGTTTTTTGTTTTTTTTCATCAGCGACGTCAAACTTCACGAGCATTGTACTGACTCTGTTCGCTCCACTAATGTTCTGTTTGGTTTTAGGGGTTAAGGTCAGTGGCGGCTGTCTGGTCTGTTTGTCATGATGCTAAAATAAACTCTGAAATTCAATGATGTCGTGGTTGTCGGTTAATGGGCGTCTTCGCTCGTCGAGGAGGAGTTCTCCCACGTCCGGCTTCACTTCTCTGCCATGTAGCGCAGCGAGCGAGAAGCATTAGGAGACGAGTTT